CAAATACACACACACAGAATTAGTAGTAGAAGACCTGGTATAAAGCCTTCCCCGTGTGGATAGGTAACGTATGTATCTGTACAAAAATATGTTCTAATAAGTAATAAGGAATTTCGGGTGCAAATACTACTCAAATCGCTTCTTGTCAAGGCGCTATGCTGGCCAATAAGAAGGCGCTTCAGCTGCAGATGATTGACCTTGGAAAAGGACGGAGGGGAGGTGTGGGGGAGCGTAAAAGTGCACCAAGCAGCAGAAATGACGTTTGACCTGGAAAAAGAGAAACACACAGGAAAATAAAAAAGTACTTGACATGAAAACAGTAAATATTTTACTAGCATATTCAACAAAATTAGCGTTGTGAGGTTGCATTAAAATGTGGAATGTCTTTAAAATGACAGAGACAGTGTTTAACTGAATTTCTCTATACTTAAGGCTTATTTTAAATTCATAATTATTTTAAAGGGAAATTTAATTCAACAACAAAGTTTGGTAGAAGGCTCCCTTCGCTGGATTCACTGGATGTGCAAAGAACGATCAGGAAACTCCAGTTTAAATGTGATATGATTCTTTTCAGATTTCCAGCACTCCAATCGGAAAATGAAAATGCAAATGTTCGTGAAATGACCTAAATGAGCTTGCAATGGGACTATAAATATACAAGTGTCCGCCTATTCCCATAAACAACTATTCTTTCGAATATTTTGAAAAAAAACTAACCCATAGAGCTTATGTAGCTGCTTCAAGTGAAGCGTTGGCGAAATTTAGAATCTAGTTGCTTAAAATTGAAAATTAGTGGAACGTCATAACAGGAATGTAGAGAAGTGTCATTTTCAATTCATGGTTTAAACTAGTGTTAGCTGTTGTTTTCAAAGTAATGACAACAGGCCCTGTAAAACCGCTGATCTGACCTTCGGAGGAAAAGGTAATTTCGATATAATTATGCTGTTCCTCCAATTGGACTCCTTTTGGGATTATCCAATTAAAACACTCTAAGGAGTAGAAAAGAAAAGCGCTTTAATTAAACCATCACTTTCTCCTCCTCATCCTCCTATTACCTTTTCACAGAAACCAAATCTCCGGCAAACAGCAGATATACCAAAGACGGAAGCACATGCTGCCTGGTCTGTTGTGCGAATCCACTAATTAAATAATGTGGAAATTAAAATTGCTTAATTGGTAGGTCGATATAATTACACTGTCGATAAACTGCAGCAATTCGCAATCACAATAAAAAAACTGGTCTCTCTTTCCCTCCCTCTTACGTAAACTAGCAGTTTGAAATTGAAAAAAAGGAAAACAATGCCTAGTTCAGTAAATAATAGAGTAAATACTGATCTGATTTATCTTGATCTCGTTCAAGACTATTTATTATTATTATTATCAGTATTAATTATAACGTTTTATCTCGAAACTGACAGCACGACATGATAACAAATTTTATTTTTGGTTATGGGGTTGATGAAGAGAAGTAGATTTCCTTTAAGTATGTATTTGAAATTGTTGAATATTTCCATCTGCTATCGGGAAAAAATTGGCCGAGTCACAATAGTTACCGGAACTTTTCAGGATGGAAATTTCCCCAATTATCTTTCTTCTAGCCACAATATATGTAGCACGGGGTGTGCGATAGACTTACCTCCATGTGGTGCACCCTGGGCAACGTATACTCATACGGCAAAAAAGTCTATAAATCGGCAGTTGACTTCTCACTTCAAACTACCATCACCTCACAGTACTCATTTCACCTTTGTTCTACCTTTGTGTTTGCTTCTTACCTCTTTGAAATACTCTTCTGTTCCCCCCCCCCCTCTCGACTTTTTTCAATTTGATGTTCCTTCCTCTCTGTGAAGCCTGAAGTCAACTAGAGGGCTAATGATAACCATCAAGACACCTGCCATTTGATATAAATAAATATATGCAACACACAATTGATTCTGTGATGCGGATTTCCAGAAGTTACTATCTTCACGTATTTGCCTAATGGAAATAGGAAGTAAATCAGCGAGAGAAATTCTGTTTTCTAATTAACCTATCTTGAACTATTAACCAATTAGGGTTAATAATTAAAATGCACAGAGGTAGATATAAATAAAAACCTGATTTTTTTTAAAATTAATGAGCTTATTTTTCTTTCATTGATTGCAGCCTAGGTATAAGCGGAACTCAACGGCAGATAAACGACCATATCGGAGCGCAGATGCCGGAGTGCTCGCGCAAAGTCGGATTTCTTGGGAAAATTACGGATGGTGTTCTCACCAAAACTCTTTTCCGTCTCTCTCTCTGCAGCCAGCAATGCAAACACCTTGGCTATGATTTCTAAGCACCGCAAAGAGCTATAAAAAGTATCCTACCGAAAATATCAACCGTTCCCCTACAAAGCCAAATTTCGTAGGCACTTGGTAGAGATTAGAGAAAAAAATGTTAGACATGAAAATACGCAAGCAGCAAATTAGACATTTGTTTAGGAGGAGCATCTAAAACACAAAAAGACCAATTGAGCATGCTTTTTAAACTAGTAAAAAAAACATTTGTTCCATTTAGCTCATATCAATAGGCAACGCCTTCTATTTGAATGCTTTGTGGCAGGCGGGAGAAAGAACACGAGACAAAGCGCGGCGTGATCGGTCTTTCCATTAAGTGAAATGATCCGTAAATGAAGGCAGACAGGTTTCATCAAATTATGGGATTAAATATTGTGCTAATTTAAAATGACAAAGTGAATTGCACACCTTAAGAGAAAGTAAACAGTAAAATATGGTTCTTGATAACCAGATTTCATATTCAATTTCGACTTAGGGCTTCATCATTACCATTTCATGTTTGTATGGTTATGGAAAAGAAAAAAAGAATTCTATTGAAGATTAATAAATGACAATTTAGGGAGAAATATTTCGAGAAAGTGAAGAAGTAAACACATAACGTCATCTCTCCTAGAGGGTTAACTATGAACGCAAATGGAATGCCTCTTTAAAAAGTTGCCAGCTTTCATCAGCCGGAGAAGGAATAAAAACCAAAACGGAAGAGGTAGCCATGTGAAATCCCCAAACAGGACACCGAAATATCCAGTCCCGTTTCCAGAGTTGGAAAACAGGAACCGAGATTATAAGAGCCGAAGAAAATCTGGGAAATATCGAGTCTCTGATGGAGTTATTTAAGCTGTTGTGATGATGAGTCTTTCAATAAAAACGAAATAGAAATGGAATTTTTTCACTTAATTTTTCATGATTATTCCATTTTGTTTAGCCAAAAATTTGATGTGGATAAGCATCAGCTACAGTGGACGAAAGATTGGAATTTGGTTAAGGCTCATTAGTGCTCAATCTAATGAGCAATTAGTTACATCTGGTTGATGAAGGGACGGCTCTGCGATACCAGCCCCTGCCCAAGATGGTTGTTGGAAAACGTCCGGAACTAGAGACCTATCTTCAAGCCTAGCACTACATTAGCGAAAGCGAACAACTTGACACCATTATTAACTCTTTGTTACGATAGGTTAAAATATAGTTATTTTAATAAATTCGCAGAAAAGATGGCGTAAATTCCCCAGGAAGGTCAAATTTAACCCGTTATCTTGCATTCACCACCGCAATCCGAAACACAAACGCGAAAATAATGGCATTCCTTCCCTCCTGCAGGTTTGCTTAAAGATGTTCCCCTCTTCCTATGGAAAAGCTTCACTTAGAGCAAATACCGGGCAATCGACTGAGGCTGAGAGTCAGTGAGCGAAAAAAGTTGAAGCAGACCTTAAACCTATTTTGTACTAAATCACATGAACTTCCTATATGCCACCACTTTGTGAATGCGTGCGTGTGTGTGTGTGAAAACGGGTAACTCATGGGAGTGCAAGAATGTATGTGAACTACTATTTTTAATGCACTTCTATTAAGCCCAAGCGAATAGACACAAAAGTGGAGATTTAAGTAAATATCATAAGACTATGCAAAAGATAAAATAAGATCCATAGGGAATTGAGAGATTTGTCGAGTTTACAATGAAACATTACCAATCTCATCTGCCTGCTCCGATGAGACGAAGACTTCAAAGGGATGGTATTTCTCCCTGAGCACTATTGAATGAAACCCTTGAGATATAAATCGAACTAGCCCTCCTAGATGGCTTAGCAACGTTCGAGACATCACTCGACGAATGACATTGAACACTCAAAGAAAAATACAGTCAATGTAAAATGTTTCTAGGAGGTCATGTACCAATGCTCATCTACCAAACAGGGGTTCAATGGGGATGAGAACAAAATTCATACGAGTCCTATTCATTGAGGGGAAGAGTTTACTCTGATAATTTTTGAATAACGGGCTTCTAGAAAAAGAAATCACGGCTTCTTGCAGATTTCTAATGAAAAATATGAGAAAGTTGGAGGTGCGACAGATAGCTATTTAAAAATGAAATAGGCGTGCAGATATAAATGTAAGCCGATAACAACGAGAAACAACGCCATATTCACATTCAAGACGCAGTTCAAGATGCAGTTCACGACGCAGTTGTCCACTGCTCAGAGTGATGCAAAGCCTAAGTCTACGAGCAGTTGAAGAAATTAATGATGAATCTTCCACATAATTCGGATTTCAACTTCAAGTTCACGATAATGAAATATATTCCATTTATATTTAAAGAAACTGATCAACAAACATTTCTATTACTACTAAGAGTTCTACAGTTGGTAAGAATTTTAGCATGATGATACTAAACTTAAAAGAGATGATTAAAAAATTGGACATTGGTCTACTTTAAAAGACGCTGATAAGAAAACTGTATTCAACCCTAAAATCTCTCTGATGATAAAATTCAACAAACACAGAAAATGAAAAGAAATGGATAATGTATGCTTACTAATTTATAAGAATAATGATCAATAGTCTACGAATGAACTCCAAGCCGAAGCCAAAACATTCGACAACCATTGACCTGATATGCGAACAGGGTAAATGCAAGGTGAATTTAGGAGGCATTTGTTATTAGTAAAACCCCGCAAAACTTACATATTAATTCTCTTCGGGAGTAGGTGGTAGAGGTCTGAGTTCTCTAGTATAGCTTGGAGGTGGGGGATTATTCCGGCTGCCATTTTGAGCGCTCATCTGTGAGTTAGAATCATCTTCCACAACAAGAACAGGTTGCAAGATCCGATCTCCCAACAATCCCACAGCAGTTTCTGCAGAACTGCCACCCCGTCTAGCTCTTCGCTGGTTGAGAAATTGACGAGGACCTAGGATCTCCCTTCCAGACCTCCTTCCAACATGCCTTCGCCTTGAACGACGTCCTAAAGTCACCGACTCCGGTGGATCCGAATGTGGACCAATATTGAATGCTTGAGGATGCATCCGTATACTAGTGTCTTCTTCAGCACAATAGGCCGGTGGGAAAGGAGGGAAGATCATAGGTGCATCAGTAGGAGATGGGGATGAAAGAACATAGAGGAGACTTGATGGATGTGCTGATCTAAACTCCGAATCATTCCCATTGGCTAATTGGGGGAGAAAAGTGGACAGATGAGTTTTCAATTGATGTGATTCCTCCCTCTTTTGAACTCTTTGAGATGAACTCGTCGGATTGGGGCAAAGAGAATTTTGCGAGGGGGAAACCAGGCTCGCTACAGCTTGAGCAGCAGCTAAAGCATGAATTCCAGTTTCTGCTTGAGTAAGAATCACAACTCGCCTTCCAGGACGGGGTAAAAAGTGATGAACTGAAGGATGCAAATCTGCAGGAGGAAGAGGATAATCCAGAAGAAGCGGAGCTGGTCTCCCAGGTTCGGCTGCAACAGCTAATAAGAAATCACTTCCTCCAGGAATTAAGGTAGCACCGCGATTTTGAAGATAAGAAATAGCAGACAAAGGAGGAGTGGAATCAGGTGGACATATTTGGCGGCAACAGAGAACGGCACAGGCTACACTTACAGATGCTTCAAGAATTCCAATAACAAGAAGAAGTACATGTAACATGACTTGATGCAATCTAGGGGGTTGATTTGATGCAATAACCCTTCGATGGGAAAATCCGCCAAGAGGGATATCGACAGAAAGACCATTTGATGATATAGATGAATGACTAGTTATGTAATATGGAGAATTCGAGGAAAGAAGAGTGAAAGATGTCTCTGGTCGTAGGATCCCGTCCTCTATTAGACCAGCAACAGAAACACAGGCTAGAAGACAGGCCGAAAGTGCGACGAGAACGCAGAAGATCAGTAAGCTAACAAGAGTTCTTGGTGTACAACGTCGAGCGGTAACAATTCCATGAAAGCCTGTTGCGAGCATGAGAAAGCCAGACCAAAGTCCGGTTGCCATTTGGTACAGAAAAACCACTTTGGTTACTGCGACCCCTGAAAGAACGACTGCTGCAAGTCCACAAAGAAGCTGGATCATACTGAGAACAAAGAGATTCTCGTTAGGCATTCGCCGACCCGTTAGTCGACCGAGGGTACTCGAAAAAGATGAACAGAAATGTTGTAATCGGGAACATTTTGGGCGGGGTAGGCAGCAACAAGATCGAGATTGATCAGTAGTGTTGGGTGCGTCATCACAGATACGGGGTTCAGTGTTGGTAGGGTGATAAGGACGGCTTGTTGTCGATGAATTTTTATTTGTAATTAGACGTTTAAGTCTTCGACAAATGCGAAATTTATTGTTACGGCTGGGGGTAGGTCTGAAGTCGTGCTGAGACGTAGTTTCATGAGTCAAGGAATTTTCTGTAGCAATACTTTCAACTATGGAAGGGAGGCAAACTGTGGGAGGTCTAAGTGGTCGTAGTAATGGAAGATCATATTGACCCTCCGAATTGGGATTCATTTTAGGATGTAAATTGATTTACATCAACTTAAAAAATTAAATATATAGTGGTAGAATACGCATCATTAGAACAAAAAAGTTAAAATCCAATGAATAAAATAGCGCTAAATGTAACGAATGTGAGAATCACACTTGAAGGTAGCAGAAGTTTAAAGCAAAGTAGATTAAAGCACGGGAAATCCTATTTATGGCGAAATAATAATAATATTAATGCCGAGCCACTGCTACGCTGCACTTACAATAACATAAACAAAGATACAACTAGGCGCTTTAATCCAGGGACCTTTATTTAGTCAATTTAAACAATAATATGATATTTAAGATGCTCCAATATATTCACAATTTAAATAAAAATTAGCGTTGTAACATATTTTAATAGATAATTCTATTCATAATATACAAATTGCTAAAATGTTTTGCATATTAATTTGCATTTTGGCATGTATAATTTTTTTGGAACTTTCATCTTATAAAAGATATTTAGTCAATATAATTTATTTTCAACAACCTAGTTGTGCTTCTAACGGTCAATGTTAAAAATGAAATATTGGCCGATCTTTAGCTATTAAGAGCGCTTAATCTCTGGTAAGTACCGTTGTAGTTTAACTACAATGTCGCTCTTCATTTCAGCCAAAAGTGAAAAACTGATTAAATATTTTTGGAGACGGTAAGATACTAAGTGAAACAGTTCAACATTCTTTAATTGAATAATCATATACTATGTATGAAGCCTTAATATTCTGCTCTTGTATATTCCTTAAAGTTTCAAAACTAATTGTTAAAATTTTGAAAGTTTTCAAATCTCTTTTACCTTATTGTTTAGTTTCTGTCACAATGACTGAATAGTAAAGATTTTAATCATGCTTCTGCCTATAATATATAGAACAAGTTATATGCCTTTAAATTTACCCTGCTTCTTATGAATTAGCTGCCAAATCAATTGCAAGCAAACTTTTTCTACTTCAAGCAAACGCTTATTGTTTTCTATTAAAAATTATATGCATGATGTTGCCATTAAAAAATAGAAAGGACACTTCAATTTTGACGATTTTATCTAAACCCTAATAAAATTGTCTATCGCCAAATTAACATTATCTGTCTGCCACCAAATTCACCATTCTCTAAAACACAAAGTCAAGTTTTATGTGTTCTGAAAAAAGGAAAGAAATGTTATCATTATTACAAAAGAGGATGCCTGTAAATGGGAAGCGTTTTAATTATATATGTCCATTGCCAAGCATCCATATTAAGATAAGCTGTGATCGCTGATGAAATTTTATCATTTTTTGCAAATGGGCAGAAATGTTTATTTCTTTTTGAAACGAGTTAAATAGCAACTGCAAAGCAACAATAAATCAGAAAAGTCCATTATATTTTGTGCTACGCTTTTAGCATTCTTAAAAAGCACTAGTGAAATAACCAGATTTTTGAAACTTGCATATTAAAATTTAATCGAATTGCTGGCTATAGACGCCTTTAATTTTAATAATTATAAAAATATCATAAATAATATTTAGATTTAATTTAAGTTTTCAAAATTTAAGAAAAGTATGTTTGTAGCAATTAAAAGTACGCAAAAAATAAATTTCGGGGAGATTAATATCTTTAAAGTTACAGAATTATTATGATTTAGAAATCTGATTAAATCTCAAATTTTGTTTTACCTACTCGTATACATTTATTGTAATTCAACCTTCATTTAAGAGGGAACTGAAAAACAATTTGTGTGGGTAAAATTTTTTTTACTTATTATTAATGGTTTTCATATAACTTTCTATTTTTTAATATTTATGTCTTTTATTTTTTTGTATTTTTTGGTGAATACAATGACTCTCATTAATATTTTTTTAATATATAATATCAAAAGCCACATTCTTTTTCCTTTTAAGTTAACTGAACATAATTATACTCTCGGTAAATTTATTTGGAAAATATATTGCTATCGTGTGCAATTTTTATGTATTGTAATTTGGGCAATGATTAAATCTTTGAAGAATTTTTAAATATTTGATTGGGCCATATGTAACTACAAATACGTCTCTAGCACACTTGGTTGCATTATTCTTAAAGAGCATAAGCAAAAGGTAAATCGGTTTAAATAAAATGCAATGTTTATATTTAAAATACAATACTATTTTAATACTCTTCTGGTTCTTGATTCTTAGTTTTCGCATCCTTTTTATTAGTTTCCGTTCTGAATAAATTGAAATGCCCGAATTTTCAAATTAATGTTGACCTAACGTAACTTTTACAATCTGATGTATTAACCATATTTTAATAGCCACCGGAGGTCATTTTTTACGGCAATACATGTCCTGGCTTGACACTGCAGGACACGCGTTCCCCTATCATTAATAAATCTTGATTACATTCAATTATTTTCTTCCGAATTAGAAATACGTTTGCCCTTTTCTCATATTCTCGCTTTGATTTTCACACAGTTTTCATAAAATTTTGGATTAAATCGTAGGATAAAATAGTGCTGTTTAAAATAGTTCTTTTTTATCGTGGCATTGCGGTTCTTCAAAAAACATAATAATCTCGCTGTGCAAATACACACTTACAACGTAGACTGTCGAACAGAGTGCATTGGTATAATAAAAATTCTTATTTTCGATTATCTTCCGTACCCTAAAGCCCACTGCACCATGGATATAGTCCATTCAAATTACATCGCCCTAACGCAGTCGCCAGTGTCACACACTTTCGGATTTCTCATTACATAAACAAATTTTCCTTTCTATGAATCGAGAAATTATCATGAGTTCATAGTACATAATCTCTTCACTCAAAATAGGTTTCTATCATTCCTTTAACTCAGAGAATGAAGAAGCGAGAGAGAGGGGTGGGGAAGAACCTTTCCAAATATCACAAACGCTTTAGTTGACCAGAGCAAAAATAAAAATGATAAGTAATAATAAAAAACTGCATTAATTTTCATCAATAATTAAGTGAAGAATGTGGTAAAAATAAGAGAGGCCATTTCCTATAATTACACAAAAATAAGAATTTTTCTAATCAATTAGATTATGCATTTGCGAATATATCATGGGTAGCACATTAATTTGCTTAAACTTTTCAGAGTAATTTATAACATTGCAGAGTAATTTTTCGATTGTATCATTAAAAAATCCGAAAATAATTGAGAGATTAATTTTTTAGTGTCCTTGCTGTAATTAACATTCCTAATTTCATTTGGAGAATGTAGTTCTAGTTCAAAACATAAATAAGAAATTGGATTTGGAAAGGTATAACAACTTTTTGCATTGCTACTTATTGTACAAAAATGCAGTAGAATTCGGGTGAAATCAGATGAAGTTATTTCAAAGGAGAGCTAATAGTTAATGGTGATTTTTCTAGAACGAACACCAAGAGCTAGCAGTTCTTCAAGGTTGAGAATTTTTTCTTCTAATTGAAAGAAGTATCTTGGCATATCTTTGTTAATTCACAGTTTTAAGAATTCCTGTCTTACGTAGTAGTGATACGTTGACGTTGAATAAATTGTACGAAGTCCTATTAGTGAAAATTAAACTATCTGTGTATTTGCGAACATTTTTTTTTAAAAAAATATACGTTTGAGAAAAAGACTGAAAATAATGGAAAGACGATTTTGTCCTCTTAAATTTTTCCAAGTATTTAGATAAAGTCATAATTTTAAAATGCTTACTGCAAACGTTTTGTCTCAATTTTTATGCAGAATTTGAATATAATTTACGCGCAATTTACAATGGCCTATCGATTATGGGAATCCGCGGATTATTAAATGTACTTTTGGGGCCTTATCGTCTTGGCAACTACCCAAACTAGGCAGGTAGTCTTTATCGATAGAAAAGCCAATCTATTAGTTTTTTTAATTAAAAGGGCATACATTGAAACAGTGTAAAATTCTAGGTTATTACTTCCGAATGAATTGCATTTGTGCACAGAGTGTTTAACATGTCACCGCATTTTTCAGCTTTGCGTAGGCGCGTTCGTGTACTTTTTACGAAGGCAGGTTTAATTAGTTTAGACACCTCTTTATTTAGATTTAAAGTAGTCTTTATTTTCCCTCTTAAAAAATGGTTGCTGTGCTTTTCAGCATTGATATTTTACTGAAGACTGACAGATTTTGAAATTAAATTCACCTATGACTGCCCAATTCATTTGTCATTTATTATTGTTGAAGTCGATGAACGACAAGATCTCTCAAGCGACATTTGGTCAAATGATGGATTTATGCCTCCAAGTGTCAAATTTTATTTGAATACCGAGATCATTGAGTTGCCTTCATTCTCATTAGGAAAACGGCTCAGTTTGTAAGGCACTAATGTTTAAAATTACCGATTTGGCTTCTAAGTTTGGGAATGAGATCATGTAGGCGATACTTATCGCGCCGACTAGTTGATTTATTTCCATGATTATCCATACTACCTTGAATTCTTGTATCATTTTACAGCAAATTGGAATTCAAAATAACCCTCAAATTTAAAACGTCTAACATAATTTCCTTTTGTACACTTTTGAGTGGATATTTGAGATTTAAACGCAACTCATCATTAAAAATCTTGTTTTGGAATTGTCGCCGTGTTTAAGCATTTTAGTAGGTAGAGTTTATCAAAGAAAAGAATACAAAGAAGTAAATCTGACGTGGTGCTGTGAAGTTGAACATTAAGAAGTGGACCTCTGAATAAGACAATAATTTAAGAAGGGTTGGATGAAATTTGAAGTTTATTCGTGACGAATAATAAGGAGACCTACTAACTTTATTAGAATTAAATCCTTATTAATCTTTAGGATTGAGATGTTTGAAAATGAAAGGACCTATTGAGACTTATTTCCAATGATAAATTAATGTTAAACTGTTCTTTGTAAAGCCACAACTACTCAGACGCCGGAAATATTAAAAGGTTCAAACAAATTTCCTTTTGCCTATTGAGAAAATAAATCTACTTATATAAAATTAGATAAATCACAAATGATTGGACAGTTAGTGAAATAATAAATGCAGTGACCGATTTATCTTCCAAATGTGTCTTTGGAAATCAATAATCGATATTTAATGCACAACAGATAAATTTGTGAATAAAATTTTTCTCACTTTGATATTTCTCCCCTTTGTGAAATTGGAAATCAGCTAAGGGCTAATGATAACTATCAAATTGCCTGTCATTTGAAATAAATAAAATATTAAATCACCTTTAACAATCAAACCAAAAAAACTTTGATTACAAATTGATTTTATGCCTTCTATGAAAAGAGAGCGCTAGATCCATGTTGTTGCAATGTTTTTCTTAATGATAGTATTTGAATAAATCTGTACATCAGCACCAATATTGTTTCTATTTGCCTTTTGTCAACCTCAAACAGACGAAGTTGTCCATTGGTCATATGCTCATGGAATGAAATTAAAATGTGAAAATTTAAAACACTAATGGTTCTATTAGTTGGTTTTCTTTGTTTGGAATCTTTTTCAAGGTAAACACAAACTATGAAGTCAATTTATCTTATTTTTATTATTAGCTAAGTCTATTAAACAATAATGATGTCACGTAATACTGGTTTATTTTATGTTGGTGACATTTTTGATAAAACAACTTTTACATTATGAATCGAATTTTGGAAGAAAAACAGTTAGGAATATTGCGAGTGTTTTATTAAAACAGTTTAAAAGACAAAAATGTCAAGATATTATGAAAGGTGGAGGTTTGGTCGAAGTATGTAGTTGTCAACGCGTCACTTTTAAAGGAAGAATGCTGAAATTTCACAACTTTCTTTCCGAAAAGAATACTTCATGTTCCACAAAAACGCTAAAAATATCGCAAAATTCGGCAAAAGGAAACATAATTATGCACATTTAGCCCCCAATTCGGCCATTTTTAAATTGTAATACTGAAGATCACCTTTCCTTTCAAATAATTAAGAGTAAAAATGAAGTGACAGTTTAAGAAATTCGACCCGTCAACGAGAGCAGAACATCGTAGTCAGGCACTTGATACAATACAACGAAATTTAAAACTCTAAACGAGAACTGCCCACTTTGCATCTACTTCAAAATCTGAAACCAGAAAATATATGGGGTGCAAATCTATGTTTTCTTGATATTGATCTCGGTTCCTTTTCAACCCCATCCTCTTTCTTATTTTATAAGTCGTCAAATTATCAATTATACCTAATTCTCCGATAAAATAGTCGCTTTTATAATACCGTGAAAAATAAATAATGTCCAGAGAAGGGTCATATTAATTCAGCTGTACAGTTGAAGGTACACTCTTATGAAATTTTATTAAGAACTAATGCCATTCATAAGTGAATTTTAATTTACATGGATTAAAGCATAATAAAATCAATACTTCATGGCTAGAAAGTTCAAGAAATATCATTTAATGATCTGAAACGAAAAAATATTTAAAATAAGTTACCCTAATAATGCCAGGAGTCCACAATTTTAAGAATTTACAAAAGTGACCGTACATCTTTCGTTCTGTAACAAATGAGTGAATTTGAAAGCTCCCATTTCTTTTAAATTCATATTTTCACGTGAAAGCAAAGATTAGTAAAACTACAAATAAAAAGACTTGCAGATTGTAAGACCGACGGATTAAAAGGAGGTATTGATTGGTGAAGCCATTCCACCAGTTGTCAAGTCATGGGAAGCCATCGATGTGAATGATTTTTTTAATAAATCCAACTCAATTACGGGAATTTTTACTTTTTTACCAAGAAATTAACGAGGCATTCCTTTCCTCTATTCAAAAATGGTTACAAATTGCCTTAAAAATGAAATTTATTTCTGAATTTAAAGTTGTAGCATTTGTAGTGTGAATTAAAACAATTCTAACATCTCGTAACCATTTAACAAAAAATTTTGGAGAGCGCTCATTCAGAATATCATTTTGATAATTTTGCTATTTGAGCCTTATTATCTTTAGTATCTCTCCAAATCGAAGTTTCAATCGATCAAAGCAATTAATTACAGCCAGTGTTAAAGGGAATGTTTCGAATATCGATGAGAGAAGAGTACTTTTAATCGGGTAGCAAATGTGAATATCGCAGTGAATTTTAATATCTTGTAGTGATTTGCATCGATTCGTCAGTGAAATGATTGTGATTCGTGCTAGTTGAAGTCTTTTAGTTGGGATTAAAATAGACTTCAACGCATTTAATCAATACTGCAGTAGATATTGATGTTTATGGACAAAGGCTTGAAATGGCGTATTTTTACTACTCGTTTTACAAATTAATTTGAATTCAATTAATGACTGGAGGTGGGTGCACATCAGAAGGGATTTAAGTTCATGGTGCTTTGAGATGGGGCCATTAATATCCATAAAGTACCTATTTAGTTAAAGCTGAAATGTGGATACGTTTACCCAGTGAAAAGGTGTTTTGAAGCTCACTTTCACTCGCATTTGATCCATTTGGATTTGAGATTCAGATCTAGCTCAAGTTACCGTTGGGATTCGTTTTACTTGGATTTATGGAAATATGGTTATGGGAAGCGAGTGATAGTGATTATAATCAAACTTTTCATTACACACTAGAGTGTGAACCCATACCTCTATGTTGATATTACAGTTTTTAGAGCTACAGTGCAGCTAATTAGAGTAAGTTGACGATCTAATCGCTGGTAAAATAGCTATTCATATGATGAATCGTGATCAGTCCCGATCTGCTTAATATTTACTCATCATATCACCCTTAAAGCTATTTCGAAGGTATAAATCGTTAACAAAGATTTATAATTTGTTGAGATTAAATTAACTGACTAGATTCCAGTGCGTTCGTGCATTTACCCATCAGCACTGGCCAAAGTGGTTGATACTTTCCCTCATTATCATTATTATTGTATGCCTACAGCAAGTTAAATGCATATCGGAACGGCGGCATTTCCATTTCAAATAATTGAGATTCAAACGAACGTTTCAATTCAGCGAATGCAAAGGCAAAAATTGGTAAAACGAACAATTGGCTCCTTCATCTTCAGTAGTCGTGCTGGTTCTTTAATTGAGGGGGGCGGGGGAGGTATATTGAATTCTCTGCATATTTTTTCTCGATTTTTGTTGTTCCTTTGTTCCTCTCCATGTTGGACAACCTTTATTTCCCTTCCATCACATTTTCAGAAGTCAGTTCACTTTTTTGATGTAGTTATCATTACGTTAGAGGTGTCAACAATCCTCGAGCCAATAGGAGACATGAGATCATTCAGGGGTCATTCATACTGTGACTGATTGCTTTAAAGGGGAACAAATAAACTCACTTTTGTTTTGTTGATAATGCTAGAATGTGTTGCATGAGAGCATTAAGAGATAACGCAATATCTTTTTACATCGGGACCAGCTTATTCACTGTAAATGATCATGGTTTTGAGCTTTATAATATTTCGTTTCACTTGGAAATCAATCACTGTAATTTACCAGTGATTAGAGTAAATGAATATTAAGACATAGATGATTTTATGTTAATTTTTGTCAATTACATGGAACACTATATGCACAACCTTAACTGGATGTCTTAATTGAAATTCAAATCCTTTTTGAAGTGTTAACCGGAGTTACTAAAGTTTAGTCATAACAAAATGTGCGCATCATTCCACATATTTTGTCGTTAGGTGAAAAAGGAAATGAATTGAAATGGCAAGTGAAACCCATATAATTAAATAATTCCCACACTAAGCACTGAGTTTTGTGGAATAGAAATTGACCAGGATTTCAGGGGAACATGAAGCAGTAACCTGCATATTAATTGATTTTTTCTTCAAACAATTCAGTTAAATAACTACCTGACATACGTTTGAATCAATCTCTTTGTTTACTATTCAATCTTTTCCCTCACGGTTTCATGTGCTCAAATCAATGAAAATTGTAAAATGTTTTTTTGTTCTCTGTTACTGTGTACTGGACTAGGATTCGAGGCTTTGAATTTTGCCCATAGGTTCGTGGCGATCTTTTCGCCGATCTAAGCATATATTCATGAGCAATTTTAATTGGAACTGTTGGCTTTCAGGCCCCTTAATGACTCGATAACGTATCACGATTTCAGGAGACTAAAAACGCCCAAGTTTCAGTGAAATTCGTGTAAATTTAACACGATTTTACTTCATACTTCAAATACCTTATTCAAGGTAACTTTATATTATAATTCTGAGAGCTAAGGAATTAGGTGCTTTTACTATGACCTTTCTTGAGTAAAAATTCGCATTTCATTGAATATTTAAGCAGTGGAGACATTTCAAAAATCGCATAGAATTTGCAAATGCTACTTTCAACTATCAGTCCATCATTGTTCATTTAAGTGCCCTTGAACTGACAAAACAGATAATGGATGGCAGTCGCTGTGGAAGGATTGAAGGAGATTACGGTCACACGGGCAGAAAAAAACGTGAACACGGAAGTCAGTGCTGAAGAGAGTGGTGGGAGGCAAAGGGGGGAGGAGGGGAGGGGGAGAGAGCTGGAACTGTCAAAATGGACATGTTGTGCCACTCTCTTTTGCCCTTCCAAAACAGCGTACCCTACGAAGCTACACACACACACACATCGACGGTGGAATTATATGAAAAGAAAAAGTTAAAAAATGTACTAGTGGCTTTTGACTGGCGCTAACGAAGGTTCTGTCCAGAAGGAATTTGCCCTTGTTGTCAGAACAACCCCCCCCCCCTCCAACTTATATAGTCCATTTGTATCAGTTTTATGCCGCTTTCAACCGTACATTTCAGTGGACATAAAAAAGAAGGCCCTCATAAGTCATGCTGTATTAAGAGAGATATATCCACCTAGGAACAAAATATGTCAATGCTCCGGTTCCACATGTGAATTCTGGAAAATTTCCGCATGCTAACCATGATTTCTTGACTGAATTGGAGTTCCAGTGTCGATTGTAGCACCTTATTGAAAGTAGATGTTGATCCGACACAGCAACCACCCAGGATGTCAGATGGTAAATTTTAATGACTTCTAGTCAGATGAACAAAGAGAGTCCAAACGAGTCAATTTCATTCACCGTACCCGAAAAAGAACATTTTTAACAAAAGTGCGTTTCCGCCCAGTGCTGAGGTTTACTCCCTCCTTCTTTATATTTCTAATGAAACAAATATCTCTCCTTTCTTTTGCCAAAAAAATCTTGATTAAACTTTAGTCTCGTTTTTCGAATACTGGATGGATGATACCTCCTGTGGGGAAGAAAATTTGTTCAGAGAGGGGATACTAATCTAATTTGTTGGACTGCTTTCCCAAAATGGCTCAACTGGCGTCTATTTTACCACTCATATAAGCATATGAGCTTTCGTTTCGAACCAGTTAAACGAAATTTCCTGTTTACCTAGGTAGTTAACAAAATATTAGGAAATGCCAACAACCACCTTGCTTCCTTAGTTAATTGATGATATCAGAGATTCAGTCCTTCTCAGTTTTTTTCACCACTCCTAATGCTTCCACGATTGCTGTGACATTTTCCAGCGTTAATAAATTAATAGACAAACATTAATTACAATATCCAATGTAAGTGTTTTGTTTAGAAATTTTGTCTTATAGCTGCTAATTAATCCATTTTATTACTCTGCGAAATAAAATGAAGTTTTATTTGATAAAAGAATAGGAAGTTTTTAAATACTACTATCTCAATAAACTTTTAATTAAGCTGTGTATTAAATATATATATATATATATATATATATATATAATTTATGAAAGACGTTATTTGTGCTCCCAAATAAGGATCTGATGACATCTTTTGTGAGCAATTGCATCTAAAATAAAATAAAATAAAGTTAAATGCTTATCCAGGATGTCTGAGGCCAGGATCAAGATGGCGTTGCAATTTCAAAGCATTTTATTTGTGTGCAATGGAATATCACCCTTCCTCTGGAATTTGAACCATAAACGAACGAAATGGCTCAAGATTTGAATGTGACCATCAAAAATGTGTGAACACCCTTCCAGCCTCCCTTTAATGTCAAAACCTTGTCAAAAGTCGCATAAAGTCGAAATATTATTCAATAATTTTAGCCAACTTGGACATGCTCTGCTTTTACCACTCCTTCAACCTATTTTCCTTTTAAGGGAAAGAACAGCTAACGATTTTTGTAAACAGAATGGGTTGTATTTTTGCTGCAAGTCCTGGTTTGTTTACAAGGAAAGGAAACGCTGGTTTTGAAAGTAAATTACATAATTATGTCCAATCGCAAATCAAGGTAAAAAAAGTATATACGTATATAAACACAAGACCAAAAAATAGAAATAATGAGCTGTTTGATTTCCTCGTCAATTGCTGAGTTGCTCCAATGTAACGACTAGTTTCTGCCACTATTGTCCATCAACCCACTAGATACTACAAGGGTTTCAGGTGATTTAGAAGCACATAGAAGTAAGACAGAAGTGCCGCTAAGCCAAGATACGTTATTTTCGCGACAAGGACTATAAATAACTACGGTTTTCACAATGTTATTGAGATAGAGGCTCAAAATGTCTGTTTTGCCAAGATTAGATGCCAAGATGTCAGATGATGCAATAATTAGGGACAACCTAGGGGAATTTATGATTCCGAGAGCAAACACAAATTCTGCGGATTTGAGCTTTGTACATCTGATTCCTATCAGCAATTTCCTCATAATAAAAATTATTATGTATTTGACTAAGGGTCTTTCGGCTTGAGAACAGCGAAGTAAACCGCTGCTTCACTGAAAGATTCTTCCTTGCACTTGTGTCATCGGCAAATAGTGTATCCCACGCTTTTCAGACATCAATAAAAAATATTTTGAAAGCTGCTCTATTTCCAATTTGTTATGTATAGGGAGAAAAATGTACGCTGACCGCTGAATTCCATCCCTCGCCGCTTTATTAGCTACCTCCGTGCATGTAGAAGTCATTTCACCGAAAATAAATGGTTTACAGATGTTCAGAATTCCATGCGCGTGATCATAGCCATTATCGTTTTTCAACTTCTCTCTTCAAAAATTAAATTTGTTACAATTCACTCAATCGTCATTTCCCATGCCCCTTCTGTCGCTTAATATTTTACAGCAAAATTATAACACAAATTCTTTTTAACATATGTTGTTTTACTTGGTGTTTAAATTGCAAAATCCGTCATAATCGCCTCGTGATTCCCCAATAAGGAGAAATCATGCCCGGAGCAAGCTGATTTCACCCACTATCATGTTCTTAGCAACAGTTACAAGAATGACTCTAGATCTTACACCTCTTAAAACCGTGAGCTTAATGGGCTGAAATTTCACTCACGGATTTCTTCATAAATAAATGATTGCTATTTACAATTGGCAAGTACATAAGTAAAGTATGATTTTTCAAGATGGAGGCCATTTTGCCCCAAACCTGACTTAGTTTTTCAGCATTTGGCTTATTTAATATTTTTTTATTATTTTAAAATAATATGATAGTCAACGCGAGTCAGAATGCATATGAAAGTGTTTGTAGGAGTTAATTAACTTTCTAAATCGCGCAATTCAATAATCAATTCCTTGTTGCATGATAAATGAAGTCTGAATTTATATGGCATCTCAGAAAATGGCTATCCATGATATCCAGAACTTTATTGACGTGTTGAATAATTAAGGCGATCTGTCTTTACATTTCAGACGAGCGGTTTCTCTTTTGAAGACTGAGAGTGCGGAATGGTATTGAGCAGTTTTAATGATCGTTTTCTATTTCTCATAGAAAATTCTTTTATCCTTCTTTTACGAATATTGAGATTCACTCCATTGTTAGTTTGAACTCTGTCCATCGTCATTCCACATTTTAGTGAGGAAAATATGACTTATATGCTATCGTGTCTGAGTCTCTATAGTCCTTAGCTATGGTGAAACACCTGTGAATGTCAATCCTTTCGATAAAATTATTTCCGAAAATATGCTCCCTTAATCCTGTTGATGTTTGCTTTTATCTGTAATCCAAATTTGCCTTTGGTTAGGATAAAAATAGATATCCAGGTGAGAGTATTTTGTGAGCCATCAAGGAAGAAGTTATTTTACAACTCTATGCCAAATGGTGTTCCTTTTTAACAGCCCTTAAAACTCCCCTGAACTTAACAATAGAAAGAAGGTGTTAGCACTCGGGGAAAATGCAGAGTTCGAAAATTTTTAAGCCGGTTCGATACATTAAGTGCTTGTTTAAAGCCGACTGGTACATAGTGTGTGATCTCCTACAACGAAAGGTGGCTGCCAATTATGCTTACTCAATATACTCAATGTGACTGCGCAGTTACTACATATCCTAAAAATACGTAATTTTGTTCGCCACCATGAAATTTCTTTAAATAATGGAATATAAGAAGAAGATATTCAATAGGAGGACCTATTTCCAAATCGAGTTGCTCTTGAGCACCCACCTGTAGTCTCCTAAAGCCTCTCTGAATTCTATTTCACAAACCATGAGTTTGAATTATACTTTTTGGCAACCTTTGCATGCACATAAGCAACAATTCTTCCTAATTTACTTGGTAGAAAAACTGATAGTATAAGTTTTTTATAGGTCGGAAATGATTTTGCAATCACCCGCGAGATAATTTTGCTAAGTGGCACATGATAATCAATCACTGCACACGACGTTACCAAATGCAATAAGCACTTTAGGTGATTAGTTGTATGCAAAGTAGTCAGTGGACGGTCGCTGGTCCAATTTTCAACACATCGAATCGCATTGGGTGTCATAGGCCGGCTGAAAATTTTGCAACACTTAGTAACATGTTTTGATATGAGTCATTTTGCATTTTTGACCATGTGACGGACTGCTAAAACTTTAACCTGAAATATGAGAGGTACTTTTGAAATTCGCAAGTTAAACAACGAAGTGAGATCACTGTGGACTTTAAACCATGGCTGTTAAAGCTTTCTACTGCATTGGCATAGTTTTTGAATGGTGTTATGATACTCTGATGTCTTCATCGGCAAATCGAGGCCTTCAAGGCACCAGTACACATTCCAGTGCTCCGGGTGGAAGAGAAACATAACTTGGATTTATTTTTTTTAGCAAACATAGGTATGGCTGTGCATGTGTACACAGAACGGAATGTAAATACGACTTCTATTACAACATGTGTGTTCTTTGTCTGCTTTATGACTGTTATTAGAAATTGATTAATGTTCCATATTTACAATGCGACCAATAATGAGAAAATTAATGGGTTACAATTAATTCCATTCAAGTCATTATATACTTTGCTGATTTGTTTCAATTCTGCTAGCAAACACTTAAAAGTAGAACCCCAACTTCAAGTCCTTGATCTATTGCCAACGATTCAGCTAATCGGCTAATTTGATAACTAACTGGTTATTTCGGTTACATTGTCGAAAAATTTTCCTGCAACCACAGTCCAAGTCAACAATTCTGCCTCTCTTATCTTCTTTTCTGTTTAAGTAGATGAAATCCTTGAAAATATATCACGTTTCCGCCCTTTTCTAAACAAATAATAATAGTAAAATTCTTGAAATCTTGAGTGTGGAGTGCTAATTGTTCCCTGTCCTGGAGAAAATTGAGATATCGCACTTCTGCTGCATTATTATTTTACAAAAGCCGTTTAATGTCCTGTCATGTCATTAACACTGAATCGGAGTCATTATTAGTATACCGGATGATAAGAGCATCGTAAAATGAGGAGAAAATTTCCCACTAATCCAAACTGATCAATCACGAAGGTTGTATTATTTACTTAAATTTGAAATCTTGTTTCCTCTCAATTATCATTGATAGGAGTTGCAGTTACGAATTTCAGTCGCTACTCAACAAAACTCGTCTTAAATATTGCTCTGGGTTATAATGTAATGCAAATTTTTGAAATGGAGACTAAGCTACATGCTGACACATTTTAAGGGGACTTGCGAGGTCTGTCTGACATTTACTGATCGGAGTATCACATAATACCTGATGTGCCAATTGACGTTTGCTATATCAATCCTAACAAAGACTTTAAAGAAGCACAGCGAAGTTACTTTAACAAGACGAGAATTGATTATTTCTGTAATGCGAAAATATTCCAAATTTCTTCCAACCCATATAATATGCTTGGCATGCAAACTTGTGAAGGGTTTGAATATATATATTTCAAATGGCAGGCGTTATGATAGGTATCATTAGCCCGTTATTTGACTTTGGGCTTCACAGAAAGGAAGAGGAACACCAAAGTGAAAAAAAGTCGAGAGAGAGACAGAATAATGATTCACAGACGTAAATGAGACAGATAGACAAAGGTAGAAAAAAGGTAAGGCGAGTACTGTGAATTAGTTGAATATGAAATGCAGTGGGGTCTTGGTAGTTAGAAGTCAGAAGTCAACTGCCGGTTAATAGACTTTTTTGCCGTATGAGTATACGTTGCCCAGGGTGCACCGCGTGGGGGTAAGACCATTGAATATCTCTTTTAAACACTTGTAACAGTCCTTCAAGAGTATATTCCTCTCACTCTGTCAATTGTATTTCAGCCTCCAAAAGGGTTAAAACATGTAGAAATGTAGTTAAAAGTTGAGTGAAAACAGCCTAAGAGGTAAAAATGCTTTTAATTTCACAAGTTGGCGGCCGTGTTCTTGAAATCTAAAAGTTGAGAGTTAAGAGTTATATGATTGATGTGAATGGATTTAACTAATAGATTCGCGTTGCAATTGACGCAGATTTCATACTGTAGGGGGTAGCGATCTTTTCCTTTCACTACTACGCATTCTTTGTTTTTGTTTTTTCAGGGGCCCAGTAAAGATGACAACACCTTCGGAAAGTGCAGAAATTCCAACTCAGGTGGAGGAATGCACTGCCCTTCAGACAATTGAACCCATTTGCGATAGAGGTATGATTCGTTGTTTCAATGTTCCATTTATGCAAATGCACGGCACCTGGTAGAGTGCTAATGCATTTAGTTGCCATGAAGGAAACACACACCCCCATCACACCCTCACACACACACACACACATTGGTATTAGCTATCATTTTCCTTCCTGTAATTTGGTTCAGTGCTAAAATACACGCGAACCTTGTAGTTATACGTCGATTTCACTTCCTCATCAACTTCAAACCGAAATGAAAATATAATTACTTTAACATTTATGCACTACACCCCTTGATTTTTTAAATTGAAGAGACTGATTGTTCGAATGAATAGGTCTTACTGCTGAAACATTAAACGAGATTACCTGATAAAGCATTTAGAAAGTTGGCAAGTTTAAAAAGTTCTAAATCGGTCTAGAGCAGTAATAATGTAAATTTCCAATGCGAATACTTATTACAAAATGCAAGTGAAATGAGGACACCAATTTTATTTGACTTTGCTCTTGAACACTTGGTCTTAGTTTTCATGATCAATTGAAGCCTTAGTAGAGGAGACAGTAATGTCGAGTAACATGGAGAATTCTCCACTCTAAACTAACCAAACACTACTCCACATACCTTCTACCAACTATGCCCTAGAACAAGGCATTTAAAAACTTCAAGCTGTGCTTATTTTTTAGCTATATTCTTGAACATTTTACTTCGCGGAGATCCTCATGAGTTTTTTAAAGAGTACAATTGAAATTTATTTGAAGGGGGAAATTTGGAAACACTTACACCTTTCGGAGGTTTTATGAAAATTTGCAAATACGTACCAAGGTTTCTCCAAAGTGGATGTCTCTATTTCACTATTAGAAGCTAAAAACAAAAGTTGAATATTTATTTCACTAAATAATAATAGATGTGTCTCAAGATTTCTTGCTTCAGAAGTGTCATTTATACTACATTAAGGTGTTTATCCATGATTTGTTCATTCTAAGGCTTTCAAGAGACCAAGTTAATGGATGTGGATTTAACTACTTTTTAAATATGAATAAAATAACTTCAATATGTTGTCCCAGAAGTTTTAGCGCACGATTTCGAGAAAATAACTTTACTAAATTAAACTGTTTCCTTACAGGAAAATTTTTCAATAAGTTTTTTTAGCAAATCGAAACTTTAAGGTTGGTTAAATTATTGATTATTGGTTTGCTAAGACTAAATCTGAGATGATCTTCTTGATCAAAATTTTCGACGTCTAACATTAAAAGCATAATTTAATATAATTCTAGAAACAGCGTTATGTTAAGCGCTTGGCTTAACTTAAATGGGCTAGTCATTTTTCTAAATAAACTTATTTTCAAATGCCATGCAAACTGGAAGCCAATATTCAACTTGGGAAAGATTATCTGTGTAAATAGAAGTAATCGGGAAATCAAATTTCTGCTTGTACTTAACCATTCTTTCGTGGTAATTTTCCCAGTCTCGTGAACTATTCTTTATACACATTCTGATGTGCTCTTGTTTTGGGTAAACTCCTATTGGATTTAATCAGCGGTGTGAGTGACATCTCGTTCCCTAGAAGCGAATACGGCTAGACATTGTTACAGAAATCTGTACACATATCGCCACAAATATTGACAGTTTGTTAATGACTGTATTTTGAATATAATTATCGACCCCTTCATCAAACAGGAATGATTGATGATATGTTGATTAGAATATAATAAGTGTCGTAACGTCCGAGGTGCGCATTTGGAGAAAAAAACCACCTTACCGTTTGGAGTTCTGAATTGATTCACCTTCCTTCAAATTAATCTCTTTTAGTGTTTTGCTCCAAGTAAAGTTAACAACAACAAAGCATTAGAAAAAATATTAGCAATTATTGCTTTTCAAATGGATATCTTAAAACAGTGAAACATGTAGACGACCATATATAGACCACACCAGAACCCTCATATCATACTATTACTCCCCATATTTGGATGTCACTCATTTCTCTCTTATTCTTTGGCATTTTCTTTTATCTACACGCTTAACCGAATTATTTCGCTTACAATAGTCAGGATCCTGGGTTATACGTAGCATTTCATCAAGGTGCCAAAGGATCAGAAACCATTCCCCATTAGTCAGTTATTACACCAATATGAATCACCCATCATGTCGCCCCTATGGATAACGATTTTGCAACAAATTCTAGCAATTTTGCCACTTAACTCTCACATTCGATTGATTTAAATGTGAAAAAGTGCGTATAAACGATTTGGAGATACCGTTGTAGGTGCATTGCCTCAACAATTATCCTTGGAAATGAAACGGAGCCATAAAACCTCCTCCTTCTTACTTTCTTCCACTCCAATCTCTATTTGACCTGCTTACGAGCCTAGGGGCTTAGGAGATGCATTAATTAATCATTATTAATTATCCTTTATGCAAATTCTGAGGGTAAAAACTAACTGTTATTTTAAATTCAATGTACCTAATTATTGCAGTTTGTTTAACGTGCAATAAAAAGTGGAGCACACACGCGTCAGAATATTCATATGACCTTCGAAATCCACCTCGGCACGTAATTTATATATTACACATGGGAAATACAATATATGAAATTTCTTACATCTTGGGAAATCAGTTCAATGCGGGTCAAGGGAAGCCGATTGATTGGAGAGTGAATTTAGGAATAATTTCGAATTATACATTCATATTGTAGGCCCCTTAATCTATGTGTGCCAACCATCATCTCTTATTTCAATGCTCTATTATTCAAATCTCAAGGTCATTCCGGTTTCTCATAGTAGATTCTTGTTTCAAGCATTCTGAGGCAATACCTTGTCGATTGATAGGTTAAATGGGCGATCAACCACTTCGAACAAAGTTTTTTCTTTAACTGGAAAATAAAAGCCGGAATGAATGCTACAAACAAGAATTTACTCTCCACTCACATATCAATCTTTCCTTTGAACATAAGCAAGCAAAAATTGAGTAAAGACACATATATTTATTTTAAGTTAGCACGTTTAATGTACTTCAGCGTAGACCTATTAAACGTTCTCAGTAATCTCATTGAGAATAGTGGCTTTAGTTTCAAGCGTTCAATCAATTTTGGAATGCATTCATTCCATTCTTGACTCCAGATTGTCAATTAATGAAAAGTTCAATATTACGACACTGACAGCTCACAAAATCAGCAAGTCCTTGAAATTATTTGAACAAAACTGCACTGAAAGCTTCAATAAAATACAGCAATAATGAATTAGAAAATAGTAATGACCGATTACGTACTCAATGAAGTTTTTAATTATCTTTTTTCACATAAAAATCTAAATAATTAGATAAAATAGTATTAATATGGTTAAGAAAATCAGTTGGCATTTGCCTTTACAGTTCTACTAATACAGATATTAGTAGTGCATCACCACAAAAACCGCACGTGAAAAGTAATTAAAATAACTTCATTGTTAATAATTATCCAAACCTTTCACTTATTACTGTGAATTTAAACAGTAGTGGGGACACTTGGCCTTGGGTGCCAAAATGGGCACAAAGGAATGTACCAATCAGATGGCAGAGTAGGATTAAGGTACTGTACCATGAAACCATGTATTTGATTGGCGATGACGACAACCCACCTTCATGTGCACACTTGAATCACCTAGGGAATAATTTCACCCCGATTGGTTATCTCAATTTCTGTCTTGAACATATACTACCACTCAGACAGTTAATTTCAGTCGGGAAAAATTTTCTGAGCATTCCTAAAAATCAGCGCGTTTGTAAGTTCGTACTTATTCATATTTTGTTTACTACTTTTTCGTTGTTTCAATACTGCAATCGATAGTGTTTTGAGGTTGTTACTTTTTCTTAATTACTTAAAACAGTTGAAATAACAATGTACTCTGATTTGGAAAGGAAAACCCCCCCCCCCTATATTCTATATTCTAAGAAAACCAAAGTCCCTTCCGAATTTTAATTAAGAAAAAAGAACTAGGAATATAGTCCAGTCGAAGTTGAAATCGGCAAAAATTTACAATGTTTCTGAAATTGATTTCCATACATTAACCAGGTTCTTGGTTTTCGGCTAGTATATCAAATTGTTTGGCTCAAAATACATTTGAAATTTTTTTTTATACATAGGTTAATAGAAGTGGTAACAAGAGCACTTTGCGCCTAGCACAACCAATACAATGTTTATACCGATTAAAATATATTTAATTATACCAAAAGACAGGCTTTATGATAGTTATCATTAATCCTTTAGTTGACTTCGGGCTTCACAGAGGGGAGGAACATATAAACATGGGTTTTAAGATAGTTATCATTAACCTACTAATTGATATTTGGCTTCCCATCGTCTCTGGGTTTCTATCGCTCTCTGTGGGGGGCTGAAAACCGTACCAGTTGGATCTTTTTCATTTCGGCCTGTAGGCCAAATAGGGGCCAAGCTGGTTAAGCGTATACTCCTATTCTATGAAGGTTCTTCGCCAGGCAATCATGTCCAGTACGCAGTCTAAACTCTGCAACAGCTTCGGTTCTTGGCCAGGCGTCCACTTCGCCATTGTTTAAGCTTTAAGTTCGTTGCTTCTTGAAGTCTTGAATTCTTCCCAATATATTTGCCGTCTATTAAGACAAGCCCTACCGGTGATGCCAGACATCATTTGCACTGTTCACTGTTGATCTGAAAGGAAACTGTAATAATGAGGAGAAATAAATAGACAACGTCAAAAAGACTCTCATTACGTTGATTACACTTTTCTCCTTAAACCTCAAAATTGTGGTGCCCTGAAAATTGATCAAGGCAACAACTAGTATTAGAATCGCGTGGGATATCAAATTCAGGGTTTAAAGTGGTGCTCACAGAATAAACTGATTTGCGTTGTGTGGATGGACAGTATTAATTGTTACACTCCTTCCAACTTGTTTTTTGTCTAAATAACTGTTTATTTATTTTCAGCTGAAGGAGTTGTGTCTTCTTGGATAATCGCTCAATCTCCCCCCACAGAGAAAGTTAATACCACTACTACAATATCCACAATAACGGATCCCAACGGCCGAGTCAAGAAACTAAAGACCACCACAACCACGACACTTCGAACAACTACCACAGTTCGAAGGGTCTGTGTGGTGGCACCAGGTTCGACCGCAGTTGTTGGACCTACAGAGGGAGAAGGAGCTATCCAGGAAGGTACTTCAGCGTTCCAGGGAACTCCTGCTCTTCCACCTGTTCCTGGAGAAGGTGCGGTTCAAACTACGCCAACAGGATCGGAATGTGTTCGACTTACACATGTTTCGGGAGACGATAGCGACTCGAAAAAACCTATGAATATCACTCAAGTTACCTTCATGAAGCCGCAAACGCAGACTTCCGAAGTTGTTGAGGTTAATACTTCTCTAACTTTTCAAGATATCTTTCATTTATTCACTCATATACGACACACAGAAATACAATTGCGACTTAGGCTGAGTGGATAGAAATTAGACATAGAATAGAAAGTTAAAAAGGCTTCTGCAGATTAAAAGTCCACAATTTTAAATCTTAATGTCAACCCTCTCTTTATTAAGTAAAAAATAATGATCAAATATTTATTTGTCAATATTTTCAGTACAAGGTAACTAACCTCCAAATGTGCCATTCCAAGAAGCAAGCGATTTGTAGAAATGGATCACACTACAGAAGATAAGCATAATCGATATCCTTTAACCAGTGCCTTTTATGACAGTTTTATAGTATGAAAATACTTTGTGATAATTTGATTTTCCTTGAAAGATTGTGCCCGTCTTTCACATTGAAATATTTCATATATTTATTTTTTAAAAACATGCATCCACTAAAATTAATCATATGATCTACTAAAAAGTTCCAGATTACATGTTTCAGCTTGAATACAAAGGTCTTTTCTGAGCTATGAGTTAAGGGATTTTACAAAGCGACTAGGTCCTTCCCTTCTACCAGGAGACAAAATACAGAGCCAGCACAAAGTGAAAAAAATTATTAAGTTAATGGAAAACTCAATTTCCGTTCTACAAAATAACGTTCTTTTAAATCAAGATAATGAGAATATTTTGTCCACTTATCAGCATATTTATCAGAATTTCATAGTGTTTTGTTTTAAAAATTTTTGGTCCAGAGCCGAAATATTAATGTTGCTTTGAAGTCTAGATATGAAATTTGGCAAAACGTTATGTAATTAGAGGCAGAGGCTGCCGTAATCACTTCAGCATTGAGACTGTCAAAATATACTGATTAAATCGTAAACCGAGGCTCTAGACAATAGGTTAATGAGCTGAACTATACTTTATATATTAGTAAGTAGACATCAGTTCCTCTTAAGATTTAGGAGGGTTAAAAAATATTTATTTATTTCAAATGGCAGGCGTTTTGATAGTCATTATTAGCTCTTTAGTTGACTTTGGATTTCATAGGGAGGAGGCGGAACAGCAAAGTGAAAAAAATCGAGAGGGGGACAGAATAATGGTTCACAGATGTAAAAGAGACAGACAGACACAAAGGCAGGGAAAAAGGTGAGGCGAGTACTGTGAAAGTGGTGGAATTCGACATACAGTGAGGTGATGGTAGTTTGAAGTCCGAAGTCAACTGCCGGTTTATAGACTTCTTTTGCCGTATGAATATAGTTGCCCAGGGTGCACCACGTGAAGGTAAATCTATCGCTCACCCCAGGTCACAAAACATTAATATATAACGACGCTGAGAAGGAAATAGGGAAAGATGGCAGTAGCTGTGGGTCTGCATGGACATTTTGCCATGACATTTCTAACAGATTCAGACTCCACTCATTATTTAAAGACTCCTTTCTTAAAAGCTATTACTAATCTCTATTATCAGGCTATTGTGCCAAGTAATCTATGGTTCAATATTGAGCTTAAGTGAAAATCAAAATACCCACAAAGGAAATCAATCCACTTTTAAGCCGTCATTGCAATTTTCCCTTAAATTATTCGTAACTGCACTTGAGTTTAATATATTTCTTCAGTAGATGCGATAATTAATAAATTTATGTTAAATTGAAATGCCTGGATTTGCAAGATGAAAGATGGAGCATAAAGATTTTAATAAATTAAGTCATTCCATCCTTTGTCATTATATTTTATTGTTAATTCATTAATAATAATTAATAATTAATTTATTACAAATCGTAAGTACAAATACAGAAACGCAAATATCATTTGGGGCTATTTTTGTAAGATATTTTTTTAGGTGCTTTAGAGCAAAATTTTAATTTAATATCAAGTGAAAAGTAAATGATTCTTAATCATTTATTAAAGTAAAAATGCATATTAATCATTTTTGACCCCTAAAATTAATGAGGCATAAAAAGATGGTTTAAACCCCTATTTGACAGCTGTTGTGAAGATAAGCTTGGATTACTTCAGGAAATACCTTCATAAAGTACATTTTAATGCACTTTGACTTCACAATTGAGAAATTTGTTTAATTCAACATTAAAATCACCTGATATTCAGTGGTTTTGAATATGGTGGTGTTCGTGGTATTGTAAAATCCTTCAATGAGATTTAATTTGGAGAAATTTCATGAGTTCAATGAGAAAAGAAATTGAAAGGGGGAGGGTGAGGTCAGGAAAAATTTTATTTATTTCAAATGTTAGGCGTTTTGATAGCTATCATTAATTCCTTAGTTGACTTCAGGCTTCACAAAGGGGAGGAGGAACATTAAAGTAAGGAAAAGAAGAGAGGAGGAAGAGAAGAGTGATTCAAAGATGTAAAAGAGAAATACAGTCACAAAGGGAAAGAAAAGGTATGATGAGTACTGCGAAAGGCGTCAAATATGACATACAGTGGGCTGATAGTAGTTTGAAGTCAGAGGTCAACTGTCGGTTAATAGACTTTTTTGCCGTATGAGAATGTAGGACATACAGTGGGCTGATAGTAGTTTGAAGTCAGAGGTCAACTGTCGGTTAATAGACTTTTTTGCCGTATGAGTATACACTGCCCAGGGTGCATCACGTGGAGGTAAGTCTATCGCACACCCCATTCAAGAAGGAGTATTTTCTGAAGCCAGACCGCCAAGTTTCTTGGCTTTTAAATAATCTTTTGATATACCATATTGACTGAAAGTTTTTCCAAAAAGAAGCTACTCGAATTTTCTGATCTGTGTATTGGTTGTATCCACAATATTCAAAATGTGTTTAGTTCAGCTGCATCTGATTCTGTGTTGTCGGCATCGGAATTGATTTTTGCCAAAAAACCAGTGCCCAAATGATTTCACTCAAAGGGAACTCCATTCATTTGAAATTATTAAATAAGTTACTTCATGTTATTAGAACATATGAATAACCGTTCTTTTTAAATTTCAACTTCAGTTACAACCAGAAGATGGAATCAGGTTATAAAAAGAGTTCCAATTCATCTGAATTTAATCCCCATAATGTACTTTATTTATTATCATGAAATGCTATCATCTCATTTTGCCATGATTTAGTATAGCAAATACTCAAATTTCAGGTATTATTCTCAAAGTTTCCGGAATGATTCAGGTTTCAAGTTACTCGCATCTCATTATAAATTTAAGCTAATTTAGTGTTTGGATATAAATGGGCACCCAGAAAATAATTATTTTAGTACTTCAATAGGTCTGTTAATTTCTAAAGAAATGAACATAACTTATTGGTTCTAATCCAAACAAAGTACTGAATTCGACTTCTTAATTATATTAGGTTCATACCAATGATAAAACACCTGAAAATGAATCGAGCGCTGGAACATCTCAGGGCAAAACCACAACAAAAACGGTTAGAAAACGTGTTACAACATCCGTTTCGGCAGTATTTGCCTCTCGACACACCAAAGTGGACAGAAAAAGGTGAGCAAAGCCCAAGGATTATTATTTGGCCACTTTTTTTCTTTCGACAACACATTAAAACACTTGAGTGTTGTTAATACGAGTGTTAAAATAGAGCTTTACCATATGGAAAGGCTAATGACGTGCTGCCTTACAAGCAATCACTGTTTCTTTCACTGTTCCTAACCTGTTTTTTTGTTAATTTTTAGCGTTGCAGGTAAGTCCCTGGACATAAATATTACAATTTTTGAGCATCTAGCTAAAAATGTTCGATAATTATAAAAATACGTTTTTTCAAGGTGATGCAGAAGCAAGATCGAAACAAATTAGTGGAGAAGATGGCGGAGCACTTTTCGACGGAAATACAGAGTAAAATTAATTCCTAAAATTAAACAATGTATAAATTTCAAAAGTACTTTATTATTTTTAAACGCATTTATATTTTAGTTTTCCGAATGAAGATTCAGCAGCAATGACTGCCTTGCGGGTAAGAAAAACCTAAAATTCCAATAATTTTAAAATTGATAGCTTTTTAATCTGTCTTCTTTATAATTAATGACTTCAAAAAGGTTAGCTAAATTGCAAAATAAACAAAGAGAGAACATTGATTCATATCCGATCGTTAATATTTTTTATAGTCAAAATATTTTTCTGTTGAAGTTTGGGTAATAATTGAATTTATCCTTCCACAGCACAAGAGTGATGCAAACAAACAGGTCAATCAAACTTACTTAAAGTTCGATTTTATTTAAAAATTGTTATTTTAAAAGATTATAAGTCCATTCTAAAATCAAATTTTAATTTGAAATTAATTTTTATAGCTAAGTATGAAGCGCAAAATTTAATTGAAAATACCTTTTAGAGAAAAAATATTGAAAATAAAATCATGTGTTAGGTACTAAATAGGATATTCACTTTTGTTAAACAAAAGTGAGAATTTTGGTACTTTCTGTTTGTCATGTGCCTAAAGTCAATAGATTAGAATTTCAATCCCTTAATAATAATGATAATAATATTCCATTTAATTTAAACCAAATGCTGGCTGACACACGCAGAAATACTCTTTTTTACAAGCTTAAAAACATACAGTTTTATTTCATAACAGTGATCTGGTAGGAGCAGCAAGATTACCCAAGAGCAAAGTTCTGTTTCCCACAACTGGTTATTTATATACGTACACCGATTATTGCAAATGTGAATTCACCCCTTGGTACACAATCTGCAGAGATATTTATTTAATATGCGCCAATAGTGCGCTGGATACATACTCGGGTCAAGCTAGACGTTCATTCACACTACATGGGAATATGTGTTGCTATGACTACGTATAAACATATATTCGAGTGCTGTCAAATTTTCCTGAAATCCGCAAAACGACTAATCAAAATTACGCTGAATTCAGTCCATCATAGCGAATAACAGACACACTGCTTTCCATCTGCAAAGAAATCAAAATAACATTGATAAATCACATGGAGAAATGGGTCAAATTTTGAATGTCTATTAGTTTGATTATTTCTGAATCAAAACTATTGGTCTCTTAGATATAAAGTTTCAATTAATTTAGTTATTTTTTTAAATTGATCCAATATCCATAGCTATAAATCTAAAAGTCGATTGTCATGTAGAATTTATCAAAAACTTTATATAAAAAACGAAATTAAAGTTCGAATTTCTCATGAACGAAGAAATTTAATGCCATGTATTTAACTTAATAATATATCAGGCAATGGTTGAAAGTTACAGTTAAATTGAGGCATTCTACCCAAATTAGTTGTCTATTTACCGTATTTCGATAATTTGAAAATTAATTAATTAAAATTTGAAATAAGAACCCAGTGTATATGAAAAATCTCATGGACTATTAGTTTAGCTTAAATAAAGTGCCCATTAAAACAATGGCATAGAAATAAAAATATTCTCAAAGCTTCTGTTTAAAAATAACAATTTTATACCCGGTTAATGAAGTATGCCGGAAATATTACTTGCAAATTGTGGGAAACCGAATTGACAAATGTCAGGATTGAATGTTTTCTTGATTATTTTTTAGGAATGTGAAAGACAGTTCGCAACGCGTTTAGACTTAGCCAAAAATTCAGCCTCTGACGGTTCAGCTACCATATTTGACCACTTTACGTCTCAAAATGGTAAAACGACGACGACAACAACTACCAAGACAACCACCTTGAAAGGCAGCGCCTTTCCTTCCATATTCGATGGATTGCCTCTCTACCAGGGCTATGGCATGATTAGTCAACGAGTGAGTTAGCTATTTACTGTCCACGCCACTAATTGCTCAACTTTTTGAATGCGCAAACGGAAGAATAAGATGCCCGTTAGTCAGCGTTGACAAGTTTTGCGTCAAAAAACGCTTACAAAAACAACATCTGGCTAGAACCTGTTAGGTTAAATCTTCCTCAAACTATTTGTGTCAGTGTGGCGAAAAGATTTTGGCGACGTTTAAATTACACCGAAAACTAATTTAAAGCTTATTTTGCAAATTAACTAGGACCATGCACTATTAGAAATCTTTAAATAATTTATTTGATTAGATTCGTTTAAATATTAAAATGAATAATCAAACATTCAAGCAGAGACGAAGGAACCTTTAATAGAATAGCACAAAAATTCGATATATCTGAAATGCAATTGTTCACTTTTTTCATTAGATTTCATACACGCATGATGAATCAATTCTCAAATGCCTAAGCTAAACCACATTAAAAGATGTAATTATATAGGCTAATACGCAAAAGTGCAAAAGTGGGGACTCCTCTTACTGAGATACCAAAGAGCTTAATTTCGGCAAGAATTAAGTCAACTGAAATAAGGAGCATCAATTTTCGCTAATTTACAGTTCTATAAGCAATACTAGCAAGAACAGTTTAATTATTAGAAACGCCCGTAGAATCGTATGACTGATGACAATAATCTTGTTAAGTACATTCAGGAATTAAAGTTTTTAATGCAAGGATTCTATCAATTTTTGACTTATTTAAATATATTGGACAGGGCATTTTGGCTATAGAGTCTAGAATCACATGATATGTTTAGAAAAATGCCATTAGGAGTTTTTCAAATCAAATTTTTATCGTTTTGTCCTCCCATGGATCTCGTAATAGTAATCGATTTAAAAAATTTCAAATAGCAAACTGTTTACTCCAGTCATTTTAATTTAAAAATTAGTTTCTGTGTTGCAGATAGGAGACGAGTAAACTGAGCTCACCGGATTGGAAGGATCTTGACTCTCTTGGGCTTGAATACTTCGTAATGACTGAAAATCTTTCCCTATTCGATTTTAGAAACCACACTTAAAAAATATAAAGTATTTTGCTCAGGTGAGATGAACATGCGAGAGAAGAAAGTATGTATTAAAATAGAGCGACAGAGCGTAAAAATCTAGGTGTTGGACTGCAAAATTGACAGTCAACACAAAGCCAATTAGCGTAGAATTTGTCATCCACACTCTGCAGGTGCGTCTTGGCCAGAATGCCCTGCTTCAAATCGGTTTAAGCACAAAAATTTGAGCACAAACATGCTCAAATAATTGATCAATTTTAATTAACAAATAGTTTGAAATCGATTTTGGAAAGTGGAGAAGTTGATCCCTCAAAATATATGACTTGAACCGTTCCATCGCACACAGATGTGCCACGAATAGCTTGTGAACATATATTTCAACGTGATTTATATTTTTCACGAAAATGAAAAATGGGAAAAGAATAAAAATTCCTGCCACAGAGAATTGAGAAAAATGTATATTTTGATTGGGTTCTATTGTTGACAACATTTTGGACGGCTGTTTGCATGATCTTAGAAGAAGGAACGAATGGAACGAATCACAGATAGAGAAAAGATCCTGATTTAAGCAGTCATTTTCCCTCAAAATTTATTTCACCTTTTAAAGCTATTTGAATTTTAGCGTTTGATGGGTCCCCAGGGATGGCTAAATGTCATGCCAAAATTGTTCATAATTTAGAAAAAATTGCCTCGTTTTAATTACCGAGTAAACCGATTAAAAACTTTAAATAAGCTTTGATTTAAATTGAATAAAATGTCAGGGCAAAAAATCCCAACATTTAAATGAAAAAAGTTTGAGGATTATTAATTAAACAGAACTAGAAAATATGTTTACATTTAAACTTAGTGGAAAACTGTCTAATGCAAAAGCTATCTTAGTAAAACTAATAATTTATAAACATTTTCTGCATTGACATATTATTTTAGATTAAAATTCCACGAATTGAAAAATTCACTATTTCCTGTTGTTATGCCGAAAAATTATTGTAATGCGACACAAACTTCATGCACTATAGCGCAACTCATACTGCTCAAAAATCGAAAAAATTAATGATGGTTTGATATTTTACTAAAAATGAATAAAACACAAGTGAAATATTGTCTACGTTGAGCGAAATGTTTTACCGGTGTTTCGTACTTCCAATTTTACTTTGGTCCGAAATGGTTGATTTCATGACCAATATAATCAATTTTATTTGAATGTCTTTAAGAGCTATTGCTAATTAAAATGGAAGTATTAAATTCTGCTTAATTGAAAAGTCATCCTTGACGACAAATAGTCGTCGCCATTGGATTGGCTGACAAATGAATACTCTCAGTTTTGTATTGATGATCAAAAATAATCTTTTCTTCTAGGCAAAGGATATCGACCCTTCAGATACGCCAATTTCCATATTTTTTAATGGATCCTTGGATCAAATCGATGTTGCTTCGCTTACCAAAATGTTTGAAGATACAACTAGAAACAGCCTTCTCTCAAACGATCTAAACAGCCTATTTGGAGATTTGGCCATCCCTGCAAAGCCCATTGAAGGTATGATTCGAAGGTTTTACTTTAGCAATATCGATTGATTAGATGGGGAAATATGTACCTCTAACATACTAATATGATTGATATCAAGTTTATTACTGTATAAAACACCCAAAATACCAGCAATCAAGCTATTTTAACGCAGGACAAATGCAATCGGCAGGGAAACCCTTTAGAAAGGGAAATAGTTATCTAGAGGGAAGGGATATAAGTGAAATAGGAAGGTTTAGGTCATTCAAATGCTTTGTTTAATGACTTGGTCGTCTTGGTTTCATGCTAGAAGTGTAAGTTTTTGTTCTATAGCTTAACTTTCTAAAACCCTCAGTGTTTGCATGCGTCCACATGCATATATATATATATATATATATATAAATTAGTATGTTTAATATTAATCAAATTTGCTAATTAATAAGAAATTAAATGAAAAACTTCTTTATCATTTTTAGTGATCTTCGAATGCACCCTTATTACTATTTTTGCAGATGGAATGGGAAAACATTCAAATGGAACATTTAGTTGAATACTCAATTAGAAATGGCATAAGGCATTAAGTATAGTAGAAATGAACTTCTGAACATCGAAGGCTTTTATATTCAAACCTTGCAATTAATTTAACCCTTTAGTGCCCTTAGGAACGTACGGTCCTCTTTCAAAATAAACTTCATTGGTACTAAACTCGTAAGAGAAGGCGATATTGGCGTTTGAATCATGTTCTATACGTCTCCATAGCCTTCACCTGATACACCACCAGAACTCATCACGTCGGCGGAATCAGTTTGCTGTGAGACACCCACGAGTGCGGATGGGTGCCTTCATCATAAGATAATCCGAGTTAACGGTTATGTTCCACTATGTATTGTCAAAAATTGTAAATTTATGGGCTTTGATTTTTTTTCTATATCAGTGCTATTAAAAAAGGTTGATATTGACCAAAGTTGAGAAATGATAGTTTATCTCTATCACGGCATAGCATGCTAAAGCTCTCTATAATTCATGAAAAATTCTTCTTTAATTTTTGCTCAAAAATAATACTACGCTCTCATTTTAGGATCTGGGGTGGTGATCGAGGAAGCAACTGACGACGATAAGGGGGAAGGTGATGCCGAGGAACCGACAGATTCCGAGGTTAGTTCACATACTATGCAATTATCACACCTCTAATATATTATATCCACATACGTTGTGTTTGTTTATTAACCATATCGTGATAGTTAATTTAATTAAGTAAGATTTTTCTAATAATTTTTTTACATTTTCACTCACATTTTGCAGAATTTTGATGGCCTCTAATTTAGTGAAAAATTTCCCGAATGTCATATTACTTTGAGTTTAATTAAGAGATCTGTCATTTTAAGCTGAAATGGGTTAATTAAAATAGATTTATTAGGTTAATTGGTGGTGTGATTGCAGTGGGGTCGAAGAGTTGTAAATGAGATTACTAAGGGCAGCTCAAACGGTTTGAATGTTTGCACTGGGATTAAATGGTTAAGCTACAACCATGTTTATGAGTTCGACTTGTATTTACTTTAGGAAAGAGACACTACAAAAAATTCGTTAAGCAGAAATGAAAATTTGCAGGAACGGAGGTCTCAAAGCTTAAGGTTACAATTCTTGATTTGAAAATGTTAAATTACAAACACTGCGAAAAATTGGGATGGTAGGATATGATTAGAGAGATGGCGCCATTTGTCAACTTAGAATCGCAGGTTTAAAATTTCAGAGCAACTTGGCGTGAGAAAGTTTGGGAGATTTTATGCAAGAATTGAGATAATTGGATGAAGAACTAAGAAATTTGAATAACTTTACCACAAATGGTCTTCAAATCCGATAAATTATCTACTTGTCGATTAGAAATATCTAATATTTTACTATTTTCTAAATCAAATTTCATAGCTTGCAAAAGTCTCCATAGGACGGCTTAATGGGTTTCCGGTGGGAATGGAAACAAAACTTGCTGATGAATGAAAAAATTTACTTCTTGGCTTCATTGACCCTTGCATATCAAAGTGAGATTTAATGACGTTTGTGGGTCTGTTATTACAAACTGAAAATCGATTCCCCAATGGGAGCATATTTTGTAATAATAAATTCAGGCATCGAAATTTGAGAAACCCTATTAAGTGAAATCCACACAATTACTGCCTCTAATGAAGTAGTTTGATAAAAGTATACCGTGTCCAGAATCAAGGGCTAATGTGTACTATTCCTCCTAGAACGCAACTACTTGCGAAGGAATACCTCAGCATATTTAGATTACTAAAATTAAGTCCATTAATCTTCCCCTGCAATTTTTTCCTGTTTTGAGTGAAAGCCTTCGAATTATTTATCTGATTCTGGAAAAAATTAACCAACTTCCTTACGATGGCAAGTGATTCATAGCTATTCTAACCACAACGACTACGAACCACGTTCAGGACAATAGCTTAACCTTTTTAATACTAGCTAAAAACTAAAGTTCATTTTCCCGTTGTTTTAGTGCTATTAAAAAATATGCCAAAATCTAATTAATGCGCATTCAGATTCATTCCTATTCAACGAATTTGATAGATAATATTTCGGTCTATAAACTATGTAAATTCGAATTAGTAATTATTTAACTACTGACCTGGTATTTAAAATAAATTACTTAAAACCCGTTTGACTTGTAACATCTACATTTTTACATCAAAGTCCAAGGTCAGGTAAACAGTGTGTGTGCTGGCTGCCGTTTAGATGTCATTAAGAATGAGGACACGATTAACATATTTTATGCCAAGGTAAATCCCAGATTACACTCTGAACCCTTATGCGCGGAAAATAACCTCGATATTAGGTATTGCAAATATATCAAGCGTGTCCTTGATAAACGACTTACTTAAAATATGGCAATTTGGGCAAAAAAACACGAAATAGATAATTACACGGCCATTGGAGGCATCATCTTGACCTGCATATAGGCTTGCAAATAATTAGATTTTATAACCCCCCTCGAATGTGAATTAATAAAAATATAAACAACAATAGGAAATTTTATAACATCTTTATTTATATTTTGAATACACTCTTAAATTGTCACTTGCTTGCCTACGTTTAGAAATGGACAGTGAATAATTAGAAGATTTGAAATTCAAATATGGCTTTTTTAGAGTTGAGATAGAAATATGCGGGGTCCAAACCGGACTTAAATGTTAATATATAGAAAATGTATACTTTTCTGAGAATTTTGGGATCTCTTGTTTGGCACCATTTGATGAGATACACAAAAATGAACTCACTATGGTCTGACTAAACAAAGAAGAAGAGTTCGAGTTTTTTGCCATGGAAAGAAATGATTTCCTAGACCTTCCTGGATGTCAGTATTCTCGGAACAGGCAGGGTGATGACGGAAGTTTGACACATCATAAAAATATGGATTTCTTTACTTTCTTTACTTTAAAGATACAAATAAAATAATTTATGCTTCAAATACAATATAGTTTTTTAAGTTATCTCTCTCAATCGAAAGAAACCTTCGAGTTTCCGCACAAACATGACAAATTTGACAATTTGAACTTGGGCCAAAATAATGCCTTTTATGATTCAATAACAATTTTGCGAGTGTGAAATCAAGTTACTTTGAAATAAAATAAAAAAACAAATATTTTACATTGGAAAGAGAAGGGAAACTTTATTTGAAGTTAATAACTTAGGACTTAGAAATATAGGCAAGTCGGTGGCCTTTCCAATGATTTAAAACAGTTATTGAAGTGCAGAATTAAGTCTGTCACAATTCATTAATTCAGAAGGGCCGAAAAGAATCCATCAGTCATATGAACCATAAGTCCTAAAGCGATGATTATTCCCTGGAAGAGTTGAATTCACAAAACAGATGTTCGATGGCGGAGGTCTTAGAGACTGACGGATAATCAATGGGCATAACTTTACAAAGTTGGCCAAAAATTGGGTCAAATTTTCGAAGCGACTCAGAGTAATGAATATGAAGGCTCAGAAATTTATTTATATCAAATAGCAGGCGTTTTGATGGTTATCATTAACCCTTTAGTTGATTTCAAGCTTCATAGAGAGTAGGGGGAACATCAAAGTGACAAAAAGCCGAAAGGGGGATGGGAATAGAAGAGTGATTTACAGATGTAATAGAAAGCGACAGACACAGAGGTGAAGAGTAGGATAAGATGAGTACTGTGAAAGTGGTGGAATATTTCATACAGTTTCAGAAATCAAGTTTCTTATATGTTTATAAGGAATTCATTTGCCTCCAATAAACCCTTTTTGCTTTGCGTAATAAGGTAATATTAACTAATCATGGAAGTGTGAACGCATAGTTACGGTGAGTACGTGATGTTAAATACTGATTTCCATTTCAATGGTGCATTTAGAGTGCAAGTCGAAAAACGTCTGTTTACTCTACATCAAGCGAGGCCTCTGCACCAGTCACACCTATTGCAAAAGATGCGGAAACAGTTGGCTACAAGAATCAAATTTTAAATCAATTGGCAACAAAAACTGGTCCCTGCCGAATCGCTTGGTCGGAAATGCCTGAGGTAGGAAATCTGCACTTAAAAAAATATTTTGCCAGTTCTTTGTAATAAACATACTAGCTTGATGAGTTGGAAGCGTGCGTCTTCCTGTTATGAGCCGGGGTAAAAGAGCCTGGTTCAATATGCGCAAAGGGGGTTTTTTCGGAAAAATTAAGAAAAAAAATACTGTGAGGTTTAAAAAATAGTTAATATACTTTAGGTCTGATCTTATTGAAATGTTACAGTATTGGTTGTTTGATATGGTTCCAGGTTATTGATTCATGCACCAATGTCACGAATCCCAAAGATTAGAATTCAATTCTTTGATTTGCAGCGTAATTATGCATTAGTCTTTCTAGAGTAGACAAAATGTCTGGTTGATGGCATCTCAATGCATATGTATCTCGCAAGAGGAAGTATTTTACAATAGGCAAGCCTTTGCAATTCAGAGAGTGGGTTTTAAATTCGTAACCAAAGCACCGAATGATTGGTTTAAATTTGACCGTTTTTCAGAGTTATTAACAGTAAATTATAAGCACAAAATTCTAGTTATTTATACCTTGGTATTTTGGAGCATTTCTGTTTAAGACGCTAACTCTACCCTAGTGTTTTATTGGGAACAATTTTCATTTAAACTATGTTATTAAAAGGTCAAATCGTTTTTTTTCAGGTTCTTACTGGAAATATTGTTTCAACGATGTCGAGACATGAAATCCAATTGCAGGAGGTCAGTTTTAATTCACTTTATATAAACGTTTATTTATTACAATAGTATAAATGAAACAATTTGAGTAGTCACAAATCGTAAATTGAGAAAACAAAAACTCGATTTTTCAAAAACTTAATCTCTTATTGCACCGCGTAGTGAAGTAACATTTTCAATAGTCTCTTCAAACTAGGCAAAAATGAAGTTGATTTCAATTGTATGATTTTTTGACAGTTCAGCCACTTTTCTATTTTAAGATTTGCTGCATTTGAAATTTGGTACTTACAGGCCTTGGTGATTGTTACGCTTGTAAAGCAATAACAATGAATAATTTTAGTTACAATTACAAAATTTGTAGGTTTTTCTTGGGGGGGGGGGAGGAATGAGGGGAGGGGTAAACAATACTCCGCATTTATTTAAAACCAATAAAATGGCATTAAAAATTTGTTATTTTATTCCTGCACGATCTGCACGAGAATGTCTCCCAGAAGAAAGTTGGAGTAGAATTGTCTTCTTTCCATAGTGTGGGCCTACTGATGATATCTTTTTATCAGAATAGATTAAGATCGTACTTTAACAAGATCCGTCAGATGGAGGCCTCTAATTTGCCTTTAATGTCATTGAACTGGCATTAAATAGCACTGAAACTCTCTTGAATGTTATTTGATATTGCGATACCTCAGTTAATTATGAAAATCGATATTATTTAAACTTATTAGATTGGCACCCGATTGAAGGGGACAAAAGTGGAAATGTAACATTTTTAAGATATTATTTTTTTCAAATAAATGCTTATTTTTTAGTGGTCAATATTCCATTTCCTATGCTTCATTATAATTTTTTTAGTTTTAATTATTGATAACAAAGCCAATTTCGTAGTGCTTTAAAATTTTTATTTTCTCTTGTGCACTATAAAATTATTTTTAGAAATCTAAGTAACAATTTAATTTTTTTCAAAGTAAAATAATAATTTTTCCTGTTTGAAGAGGGTCTTATGCGTGAAAATCGCCTTTTTAAAATTTTCTTGCTTGCAAACACCGTATTTTCCTGGAGCGCCAAAATGCTATGCACAAGACTGCAAAATTCCTTTTATGTTGTCACGTTAGACATTGACAGCAAACGTGTTTTTTCTTCTACAATTTTCAAAGCATTAAGCATGCACCACGTTTTAACTTCTGAAGAAATTTGTCACTGCCATTTATATTTGCTGATTATTTTTGATAGAGTTCGACATAAATCGTGACAATCCTTGAGAAACCATATATTCATTGGTTATCTAATTTTATCGAGCTTTCTTATGAATATTTGTCAAATCCGTCCCCAAATAAGCCGATCCTGTGAAATTACCAATCATTGCCGATTAGTCACTTTGATTAAGCTTTACTTACTTTACTTACCTTGAACTATCTACTGTGGTTGAAAAAACGGAGCTTTTGGAATCTATTTTAATTTTAGTCACAATTGAGGAATAGAAATTAAGTAGCTGAAAGAAAAAATGAAAATAACTTGGCGTAGGGGTCGGTAAGCATATCTTATATGATGAAGGTTATGAGTTTGGAACCTATCGGGGTACATCCAGTGAACTGAACTACTAAACTTAATTGCTGGCATTGGTTGGCTAAAATATGAATATAGCTCTCAATCAAAAGAGTACTTGAACAAGATGGAAAGTAAAATTAAGAATCAATTCTTAAAATTAGTACTGAAAATATATTAAACGGTCTCTGAAGTTTCAGCTACGTTAATAATTTATTGTTGATTCAGGCGATGTTTGAAGTGATTACTTCAGAAGCCTCCTACTACAGAAGCTTGCAAGTCCTCATTGAGCACTTTTACAGTGCACCGGAATTTGACTGCTCCAAATCAGCCCCTACAAATGCGGATAGCTTTGCCGATAATGACTCTGAGAGCAACGTTCCTCCCTCGAATGAATCCAGACAGTCTTCATCCGGAATCAGTACAAGAGCGGGTTCCATATCGTCTGCAGCTGACCTCGGAGCACCTGTTGTGAAAGCAGTTCTAAGTCCAACTGAAAAACATCACCTATTTTCCAATGTTTTGCTCATCTGTATGGCTAGTGAAAGGTAAGCTTTCTTCCTCCCAAACAACCTCCTCGCAGACGATTTGCTTTTCTAGCAAGTGAATCGCTTGCATCCTGTTAAAATGAAAAAGATGTTGGTCAAACCCGCCAAAATCGACATTAACTTGGCACATTATTACTTCATCAAAATAGTGTTTTATAAAACGCAATTAATTTTAATTAGACTCTGCAATAAACCATGAAAGAGAAAACGTAATGTGTTGTGTTGTTTCAGTTATGAAAGAATGAGCTTTTATTGAGTGGTTTCCAATGGAATAATTACGGTTTTGTTAAGAGTTTTAAGACTTTTGCAACGGTCAACGAAATCGGCGCCTGTAGGTGTTATCTTATTGAATTCGGCTTTCCCCAGTCAAAAAAATAGTTAATGGAATGCGAGTTAATCTGGTGAAGTTAAATTAACATTTGCTTTAATTAAAACAAAGCGTTTTTAGTAGTTAAATCTTGCTTTTAATTTGTGGATAGAGAAAAATCATGAACTACTTATTTCAAATTCGATTACAATGCTCGAGTCCAAAGGGAATGTAAACACATAGTGTTGCATTTGGATTATAGTAGATTATCTTTGTTTTGTCAGCTATTGAAAACAATTTGGTATGATGAACCACAAAGCTGTTTAACGACTCCTAACTAAAACGTTAGTTGATGAATTAAATTAGTGAAATTGTGAATTAACACTTGCTAATATGCACTTTTTAGCTATTGCGTTACTGTAAGTGAATAATTTAATCTACTAAACCAATGAAATCTTTGTCAAAAAATTAAAAGAAAAAGATATTCTTTTGTAAAACGCAAATGAATATGAAATTTGACCCTACTAATTACAGAAATGTCTGCAAAATTTTAGTTTTCTGCTAATGCAATTAATAATGAATTTTATTTTTCCCTCTAATGATAAAAAGTAATTACTTATTGATTTATATATAATAAGTTTAATACCTTTAAAAATTCTTTTGAAACCATTTTAGATCACCATATGTCCAGATAGGCCACACACAAAGATATTATAAAATGTGAAATTTGCTTAAAGGAGATAGATTTTTGAAAAAAAAATATTGACAAAGTTGTTAATTAAATAAATATTTGACCCAATTGAGTTGTCATTTATGCGTAGAATTCAACAAAACAAATATCTTTTAAATTTCAATTAAGCACAAAACTGGAAAATCCGTGTTGCATGTTTTTAGAAAACTAACAGGAAAGATGTATGACATATCTCCCCCATTAATTTTGAAATATTATTCCCAATTATAATCCAATTATTTTAATTTTCTATTCGGAACATAAACGAATGTCTCTCTCTGTTGTAGATTTTTGAAAGATCTCGAAGAGAGGTGGTCATCCCAAAAGCCTCTTCTAAATGAAGTTTGTGATTTAATTGTTAAACATGCTGGAAGCGTTCAGTTTGATCCCTATCTCACATACCTTCGTAATCAAACGTATCAAGTCGCTGCCTACCGTAGACTCAAGTGAGTCAACTAGTGGCAAACTATTTATTTATTTATTTTTTTCAAATGGCATGCGTTTTGATAGTCATTTTTGACCCTTTAGTTGAATTCGGGCTTCACAGAGGGGAGGAGGAACATCAAATTGACAAAAAGTGGAAAGAGGGTGGGACAGAATAGTGATTCACAGATGTAAAAGAGACAGATAGACAAAAAGGCATAGAAAAGGTAAAATGAGTACTGTGGAAGGGGTCGAATATGACATATAATAGGGTCATTGTAATTTGAAGTCAGGAGTCAACTGCCGGCTAATAGACTTTTTTGCCGTATGGGTATACGTTGTCCAGGGTGCATCACGTGGAGGTAAGTCTATCGCAAACCCCGTGACAAACTACTTAAAAATGGGCATTTTAAACACATGAGCTCAATTCTAGAGCACTAAGTTCTAAGACAATAGTTAGTAAAGATATTGTACAATTATTAACCTCATATTTGTTCCCGAATCTTTGCCCATAAAATATACGGTCTTAAGCAACAGACTGAAGACGCCGGCTTTTTTTGATATTCTCTTGACCTTCATTCGGTTGATTAGTACTTGCCAATTTGAGACTTGATAAAATTGAGATGATTTGGGTTTCAATTTCCTATTTTTGTTAATATTGAAAAAAGTAGCACAGAATAAGATAATGATATGTTCTGCGAAATGCCTTAGCAAGGGCAAACATTTTTGCATAAGTTTAAGGAATTAAAATTCAACATACCTAGACTTCATGTTTACCAGGTGAGATTGAATGATTGCTCTGGAAATGTTAAGCACCTTCAGGATTTCGAAAGGTGTTCATTACAAAGCGAGAATGCATTGAATACTTTACAAAAAATGTTTTACATGTGCATATATTTGCATGGGTTAACACTTAAACACCTCGATGAAAACAATGCTAACTTATTGTGGACTAGCCTTTCAGTGCTCGGCTTATGGGTTTCCGTGACTAAAATAAGCTCTGTAGAGTAATCGATCGTCAATTGAAAAGATATATTAGTCAATTTATAAGTGAATTTTGTTCAGTTCGAGTTGCGATCTGTAATTGAAAGTTGCTTTGAACTCCCTGTCTATCTGGCAATTCCTCCATCACGTTTACCTTAGTAATGACCAGGGTGTCCAAATCCCCACAGTAGAACGGAAGCCATAACGTTGCAATGAAGCAAAATTGTGAAAAAAAGCGAAGTGCGAAGCTAAGATTACTACTCATTTTTTGCTAATTAGTCGGGGACGAAATTCTCACTAAACCGACCCGGTGGGACAACTTGATCAAACGAAGCTGGAGGTCATCCGTTTGTGATTGGTAGGTTGGAGGGACTTATAAAGATTTTCCCCTTTCCAGCCTTTCAGCGTCTCTTTGATTGTGACTTCTCGGTCCGCTTACTTCCATTTCCTCAGTATTTGTAGTTTTATGGTCGTTTAATAGCCACTGCAAGTAAAAGTGCTCACTCACTACATTCGTACTTTCCTTCGGAAGGATGGTGGCCTTTAGTCAAATGCCAGTTTTTTCGCCTTTTTCTAATCCAATTTTTAGAAAGGAAAACTTTTGTGTTCAAATTCAAAATTAATTCTGCTAATTACATGAACCAATGTGATAATGTGAAGAGGAAGTTGTTGGATTAATGAGAGAGCAATTATCATGCATCCGGAAGTCAGTACAAATAGGTGATAATTCAAACCGAAAATAGCCCGATTGCTTTTCTCCCGACAAATTCGCCTTTAAACTACTAAATCTAAGTACATATACATTAAAACAAAAGTACCGATTCGGAGTAAAAGTTCACCATTAAATATAAATTAATACGGAAAATGTCTTCGATCTCAACTAATAAATATCCACAAGGATTATTGTGTTTTTTTCCATCACAAAACTCTTGTTAGATAAAATTGGGAATAAACTGTAGACTAGGAAGTGAATGCGCAGCCAAAACGGCCGCTTCTAGACTTCTTCAAACATGTTCGCATCACTTTAAGCCCAGCTTGCTTTAAGCTACTACAAGGAATAGGAGCAGTTAAATTAAAAAACAATATAAAGTAATGACTTAAGTGCAGTGAAAGCGAAGTCGTGCTTTATCACTTGGGCTCTAGTTAAGGATGCAAATTCCAGGCAATTTCTGCGATTGACCCATTTGCCTGTTTGAGCGCTCATTTGAAAATTATCATTTATCAAGCAACTAAAATAGCCACCAGAATAGGTAGTAGATCGTTATAACCTATGCAGGGCTAAAAATGCTTTCTTACATTACGCCCAACAAGAGTAAAAGCAAAATGGCGTGGTCAGAGACGAATGTTGAATCCAGAGAGTCAAAGGAATCATATTTCCTGTTCCGAATGACTGAGCAAAGTACATCCATGATGTCGGTTGATTAACCGCAGAGGAAGTAGGAAAGAACTAGCTTTCTTGATGAGAAGATATTCTTGTAATTATTCAACCAGGTAAACAAAGTGAGTGGGCATAGAAGAAATCACCAGAGTTCTCACCGATTGAAATAAGCTCTCTTAAACTTGGAATACGAAATTAGATGGAATAGAGAGAGCTCTGCAGGTCTCGAGGTGAGATATTTTCGTTTTCATCGTTGAGATCATTACAAATGGTTGCATTTTTGCAAAGAGTTCGAGCTAGATGAAATAAAATCAACTTCGGTTCTACATGAAATAAAAATCCACTAAATTGTGTTATTTTAGTTTACGAGAGGATTTTCAGAAGGCAATAGCTCGAATGCATGCGCACCCAGAGGTTGGAAAAAATCGTTTGGACTCCTTCTTAGCTCTTCCAATGCAACGATTAACGCGATTGAAGCTTCTAGTTGAAGTGATTCAAAAACTCCAGTCCGAAGTTGCCATGGAAGCAGAGAAAAGAGCAGTTGCTGGGTCAACAGAAACCATGACTCCTGGAGTTTGTGACAGTCCTCGAAGAATGAAAATTACAAAGGAACACCTTGAAAATACTAGCATCGCTTTGAGAGAATTGAAACGGGTAAGGCCATTTCTTTTGACTCAGTAATACGCAGACAATCGGGAAGATATTAATTGTCGTGATCAAAATCAACAATTTTGGTCAGTCAAAATTTTTCTGCGAATTTGTTAATAGTCGTAATTTCCAGACATTTTTATTTCCAGCTTTAGTTGTACATTTGCGGTCTCATATTCTAAAGCAGTATTACTCTTTAATTAAAATTTAGTTTGCAAATTACCTTAAAAGCAAAGCTTTGATAAACTTTGCAGATTTGTGAAACGAAGCGCTATTCACAGCATAGGAAGGAATTATAAGGTAACCTCTAATTAAATTTGGATACTTACGCTTTCCTTTAACAACTTGGAGGTTCGGTTAGAGTAAAATTTTAGTTTTTAAATTACTCGCTATCCAAATGTATCAACAGTGTTTCGTTATATTTGATTTTTGAGTAATTTGAACTATTTTTAACATTTTAACTTCCTCTCAAAATGATTTCTACATTTTACAATTTTTCAACGTTCAAAGGGAATTTGGTTTTTCATTGACATTATTAATGCACTTCAATGCAAAATGTTAACGATCTTTCACTGAGAGAAGGTGCGGATTTGAAAGGAGAGTCGGAGTGCTATTTCGAATGAGTTTCATGTAGGATATTCCATAGTGGGCAATTCAATATTTCTAGTTCATGATTCTCCGTCTGACTAAGTTCATTTCTTCGATCTCTCTTTCCCATTGACTGGCTGCCTACTTAGTTATATCAAATGGCAAACTTTATGATAACTTTTATTAGCCCTTTAGTTGACTTCGGGTCTCATAGATGAGAGGAACATCAAGGTCACAAAAAGTCGGGTGATAGTCGCAAAGGTATAGTAAAAGGTAAGATGAGTACTGAGAAAGTGGTCGAATGTGACATACAGTAGGGTCATGGTAGTTTGAATTCAGAAGTCAAATGCCGGTTTATGGAATTTTTTCGCCGCATGAGTTTCATTTCTCCATGGTGCACCACGTGGAGGTAAGTCTATCGTGAACCCCAGCTGCTTGATTATGAATAGTTGACATTGTCACTTATAACTACTTCTTCTTTCGAAGGACGGAAAAGCGGCATGACCTTAAAAGATCTTGAGAAGTTCTTATCGGTTTATTTTTGCTGAAATGCTAATTATTCACATACAGCTTCAAATGAAATGCATTTTTTATGCGAAAACGGAAGAACTCCACCCATATGCATCGGAAATGAAATTTTTAAATTTTGAATTTAGAATATTTAAGCAGAAACGTCTATTTTTTAAATGCCATGAGCCAAGATTGCAAATAAATTTCGAATTACTGATAGGGTAACACAATTATAAATTTGTAATTTACCGTAATCGTATACACCGAGCGCCCCATGAAAAGTACAATTTCTTGTGAGGTCAAATATTAGTTAAGGTAATCATGGGTGTTAATTTGAGGTAAATACACCAATTGAATTACCACAAATTATTTCCTGTTCATGAAAATTTACATCTTTAGCAAAATGGATTTCCAATATATGTTTGTACGATACTTTGCATTTCATTTGCAATGGTAATTTATTTCACTTTCAGGAATATGGAAAAAATTCTCTATCATCCTTGATAAATTGATTTATTTATTTCAAGGCATTCAAAATATACCCATATTTAAAATATTTTTACGGATAAGAAATTACTAAAAAAGATCAAAATCTATTGAATTTTTCCTGGAATTTCAGCATTCTAAATATGCATTCGTCTAAAGTTAAACACCTTTAAAATAAAATCCATACCCTAAAACTCCACAAATGTTGATGATCGATGATTTTCAAATCCATTAAAATAATTGTAAAATCATTACCTCATTGAAATTCATTATATTTTGAAAATAAATTAAGCGTTCAAAAGCATTTTGATTGCAAAGTACACTATAAAATGGAAGACAAATTTGTGATATACAGAAAATACATCGATTCATATTATACTTATTCGATAATATCAATAATATTTTAGTAAAGTTAAAGACTATTGAATGCTATACTTTTTGAAATCTCAAGTTAAAGCATTTTAAAAGTTAAGTGAAGTTTAAAATACCTCAGTTTACTTTTAAACTAAAAATACTTCACTTTAACTTTGGACTCAAAAAAACTAGAAGGAAATTCCAATCCAATCGTTCTCTCTTAAAACGATATCAGTTCAAGGAGTAGCCATTTTTCGTTCTCATCCAGATTGCAAATTTTGATCGGTTTGATGTCTTCAAATTTTTTATAAACTTTTGGCTACTCTTAACATAAAATCCGAAAAGTGGAACAACAACCTCCCTTGAGAATGCGTTAATAAAATTGCACAGCGGAGATGAACATTCATATAGACCTATTATCGAGTTTCTGCGTCTTCGAAAGTGATGATAAGCACGAAGGCACTAAAAAGGTGAAAGCAAAATAACAACGGCTTGTGATCCGTCAGGGCAATTTAGGTTGACACTATGGCATACAGGTAAAAACGGTGAAGAAAATGCAAAAAAGAATCGCTCGATAACTCGATATTGCTTTCCTCTCAACTTGATCTGAGTCGAAGAGGGTCTGCCAATCATTCCGGGTGTAACCGAGACCTGCTTATTGACCTCACTCTAAAATGTGGATTATGTTAACTGAAACTCTCTACTCAAATCAAATCTCTCATCACTTGCTAACGCTTTGAAGGACTTTCATTTGCAGTAATAATTAATAAAGTCACGCAGGGTAAATCAGTAGGTCTTTCATCATATTTGCGCACTGAGGAAAATTTAGGCGTAATGCAGCATCATGTGATAAGGAGGTTCATTTGAGAGAATGTTATTTTTGACGTCTTTGTGCTTAGTTTTTTTTCCAAGGAAATAAATACGCACGAAACGGACCAAAAATACCTGAAAGGCCATATGTTGTGTCAGATATTTTTATCTTCTTTGCTCTCTAAGAAAAGTGAATACACACGCACACATATTGCCAATCTTCAAGAGGAATACTTTGAACAAATGAAACAAGATCGAAAGCAAAATTCATTTCATTTCAACTTGGCAAGATCATAAGTAACCTTGTATAACTACTACTTCGGACGTAGGAGCTGGATGCAGTTGAACCCAATATGCTGTCAAGACACACAGTCGAAGAGCGTTTATTTTTATGAGTGGACACGCATCGGGAGACATCAGAAATTCATTAAAGCGGAGGGCTATCGTAATTTTGCCGAAATTACAAATTCCTTAAAATATTCTCACCTCTGTAGAATAAAACGATTAGCATTATTACTAGCTATTCGAGAAAGTTCTGTCTCAAATTGTGACCCTGCCTTTGAGAGGCATTGAATCGTTGGTTACGAAAGCATTCCTTCTGATGCAATTGCCATAGCAGCATTGTCTACTTTGTTGCCTTTTAGATCAAAGAGTAGATCCATCTGTCGTTAAATGTGACATAATTGTTGTCCCTACCCTCCTTAAATGAATCAACATATTTAGATGAGCCGTCTAGACACAACTTTTGTGAGTTTCATTCAGCTGCTTTGAATGGACACATGACTCACGAACAGGTTTAGAAGCACTTAGCAAGTTGGGGAAAATAATTCAGATGTTTATATCTATTCTTACAAGTCTTTTATTTTTCAAATGAAATGATATTTTTATTGTTTAATTGTTATAAGATGATTGCTGTGGGTGTGCTATTCGAATAAAAATACTAGACAAGTTTGTCTCCTTTACCTTACTGGCATTTCGGCTATCCAAATGGATAGATAATTAGCGTTAATGGTTGAATGAACATCACAACTAACAAGCTAGGAAAGTGAATTCTGATACCTCAAACACGACTACGCTTTATAACTAGGGCTTTTGAATAAGTTGTTTTAGCATCTGGACCTACTTGAAAACAACCAGTAATATTGAAATTGTCTTGGAGTTTTATCAATATGTCTTTAGTGGAAGCATCCTGGAGAAAATCCCTAAACTGACCAGATGCTTTTACATCGTGTTTAAGTACCTGAGGGTCCTTCACGAAAAGATGCTACCTCCAAGAACTGCTAAGACATTCTGTATGGGAAAAATACTTTTTTAAACTAAGACGCAAACATGATATTCAAAAGACGTCGTTGGTCAACGCACTTTCTGTTTTGGATACATGCATAATTTATAAAGACACAGAATCTATTTGTCTATTCTCTTTGTGAAGGCTAAATTATTTCTCCAAATCTACACACTTTTTTACTCAAGTCTTAAATCTAGTTCAGAAATGAGATGTTTTTTGCTTGGAAATTCAGAACATGCAAACTGATTGCCTTTGTGAATAGTAAGACAATTATTCTGTCTGGTAGTATTTAGTAAAGTCTGGACGTAAAAAGAGCAATCATTAATTTGAATTTTGAATGTATTGGACAAATTTTAAGAAATACAATTTTGCATTTATTTAAAAGTTTCAAATTTGTAGTTTTTACATATTTGAGCCAAAATTAGTTCTTATTTCCGATTTTGAATGTCAATTTATAAGGCGTTTAGTCATGCCATAGTGAAATATACATTTCGTGATATAAGAAAAGGGAATAAATAATCTACAATTGCCAAACTGTTTTTTTTCGTTCATTTTGTGTTTGGAAAAGCAGAGGTCATTAGAGTACTTCCACATAAGTGGCAGTAAATTGCATTTCTATTGGGTTAGTAAAATGTTTTACCTACCGAAGCATGTACACTACATGCTTGCGTTTGAGCAAGATTATCTTGGCCCTTCTAAGAAATCTTAAAATGTGCTGTCATTCTGTACTCATTTTATGGGCTCATTAGTTCATTGATCTCTGAGGAAATTCTTTGATGAAAGATGCGAAGTGTAAACTACAGAAATCAAGGCCAAGACGTCACGCAAAGTTTAGCTTTCCATTTGCCTTTCAAGTTTGAAGAACAATGTAGTCACTTCGGCATATAATTGTTTCAGAGATATCTCTACATTGGTGACATTTCAATCACATTTGCATGCGTTAGGCAATGGCAAAGCGCTTTTAACGTATTTCCTGATAGAACTGTCAGTCAATTAAAATAAATCAATAGAACAACTTCAATTATAAGAAGATATATTTTGGCCGAATAGCGTATACTATTAGAAATAAAAGATTTCAGATGATAGATGATTGAAGGTCAACGGCCTGCCACAACCCTAACCGCATGACAACAGTACAACATGCGCCTTTAAACTAATATGAACTTGGTGACAACCTGCGAGACCAAAATTCTCATCCCTAAACAGAGCACAAATCCGATTTAATTTACTGATTCGCTAAAATGACTTTGATTGGAAAACACGTATAAAAGTCGTTTCATATGATCTTTATCTCATTGAAGTCAAATTAGATAATGAGTATTCTCATGTGGTTACAATCATAAATGTCTTCAATCCAAGGTATTAATGATAGCATTCAATGATAAAACGTCAAATACAGAAACGAATTTAGACATTTCTGTGAAGACATGAGGTATCCTTAAACTAGTTCCAACCCCCCCCCCCCATTAATATTCAAATATCCCAACAATGTTACGAAGTAAGAATGAAATATGCTATACGCCTACATACATACTACATAGAATATTGAATAAATCATTACAGTACTTTTCAAAGAACTTAATTTTTCTTCTTAATCTTGATCAACCATTTCGTTTATAAAGCGTGAACCATTTATTCAATGCCTAAAACAGCACACTGTTTTACACTCATATCGAACATTTTGTTGATTAAATGAACAAACGATTCATAAAATGTCATAATGTGATGTATAAACTTCTCATTTCATGCATGACCACACTATGAAATAAAGCAAATATATGCTGGCAATAAATGCACAGATTAATATAGTCCATTTAGTTGTTAAACTCTAACCTTGCTGAATGGCTCCAGAAAAGTCAAATTCTAACAGACAGCTTTCCAATTCCTCGACACACCCTTTTGGAAAGAGTGAATCTTAAACGCAATAGAAAATTGGTTAAATGGGATGATCTAATGGTTATTGTTGTCGTCTGCAAATTTAGATGCCAAAGGATCAAAGTTTATCGACAAACCACAGACGCTGAACATGTCCAGAATAGTTTATATTTTCCCCGTTGAAGGCTAGGTCAACTTTAGTCAAAGATTTAAAAATTATTGATGCACGAACACAAATTTACCATTTGTAAAAAGTAATCCCCTTTTGCCAATTTTATAAGCATACCTCTTGCAAGAAATCGTAGGTTAAAAGCCCCATTTAGTTAATTTGAATAATCATTCATTTCTATAACCTGGGAACAAATTTTAATTTAATTAAATTATTTAAAATATTAATGGCTCTTTAATGGCGAAATTATTTATTAATTTGCAGCTTCTATCAGAAAGTGAATCGGAGAAGAAGCTAATGGATGAAAAAGCGCGTCTCCTGGAGCTCTCCTCTGCTCTGGAATTTCCAGAAAATGTCAAGGTATGGTTCCTAGATTCCTGTCCCGCATGTTTTAGAGGCATTAAAATTCCTAAGAAATTATTAGAAGTGAAGTGTTTGCCTATTTATACAAGCACGCGTCCCCAAAAAGTCCCACATGCGCGCGAAAGGCGTTCATCAGGGTGATTTACTATGAGGTGACCGGCAGTTTAGTCCGCATTCCAATGAAGTAGCCTTGAAGTAACCACTATCAACCGATTGCAGGCTAATTTTAAATTAATCTCTTTGATCAATATTGGGGTTTCATGTTATAGTTGTGAGTGGGCTATGTGATGCTATTTCGTGGTTTTTGCACATTCATCTTTGTGAATGACTTCAAAATGCGTGTGGTAATTTCCTATTCTTCAGTTATGAACTCTCACTAATTAGAATACAATCATTTTTTAAAGAAAACTTCATGCAATTAGAATGAAAGATAACCCAAGAATAGATAAGGTCAATTGTAAAATTGTTAAAGATTGTTTTCTTGGGTACTGCATTTTAAACGTCAATGAATTGATACTTTTCCAAATAGACTAATTTTGCTCGAATAAGAATGCATATTGACCAACTTGGAAGAGTAACACACTTATTGGCGCAGACAGCAAGGTCAAATTAATTCCAGTTGTGGCATAGTCCAAGGTACTATGACTGCCAATGTGGATGGACGTTAATTAAATTCGTGTAAATCAGGTTAAGTTGGGTCGCTTTACATTCTTAGACTACAAATTGGTGTGGACTCAAATTAATTCGAAGGCATATTATCAGTTAATCGTTACCTATTCACACTTCTTGGTGATATTTTAAATTGCTTTATCAATCTTAGATAGGCTTTATAATTGAAATACCTGACACATATTTTACAATTAATTAATGCGTTTATTTCTCATCCAATTTAGATTAGTGCATAAACCTAATTGCATATTCCGATAGCATTGATTCATTAATTTTTGTTGCTTTAGAGAATAGCAATAAGTGATAAAAGATTGGTCAAAGAAGGCGAATTGCGGTCGGCAAATTCGGATGGAAAAGCGGCAGTTTTGCTAAAGAAATTGGGACGAAAGAAACCGGAAACCTTCTACCTCATACTCTTCCATGATCTACTTATGGTCACAAAACTTAAAAAGTAGGTTGATGTATCTTAAGTAAAAGTAAATATAATAGTTTTGAGAGAAATTGTTAAATACCAGGAAAGGAGAGCAGTTATAGACTCCTTTTATTTAATTTGAATTTAAGGATTTTTCGTTTTTAACTGAAACCTTATAGTTGCCTAACCAGTGATTTGTAAACTATTAAACCTACATTGCGTTCTTGGTGAATTTCAATTAACAATGGCTCCATAAGATAATTGAACAAATTGGTGAAGAATTGGGAAGGTGTGCCTTGGAGAAATGCGATTATATAATACAAAATTGATGTATTTATGAAAATGGTATTCACTTTGGTATTTGGACAAGCTGGAACATGACTATGAATGAAAGTTTTAGAGACGTTTCTGTTTGAGTTGAAACCTGCATTTCTTCTATACTCATCGCACTAGAAGGCTGATTCTTTGAAATAACTCATGTGATGATTTTTAGCAATGCCGTGGTTAAAATTCTTTTATGTGGCATTCGGTCATTTTTGTTCCTTAAAAATATTCAAAATATTCGTACATCGGACACAATAATCTCAGACTTATTATTATGGATATGCCATATAGGATGTCCAAATCAAAGAAATATGAATATATTTTTGTTATTTGTCACCGAGGACAAAGATTCTGGCAATTCTTAACAATAAGTGGAATATGACGCTGCCAATTTTCAGGCCATTTCCTTGTTTTAAATGTACTCGTAAATGGTCTGACTTTGGAATATTCTCAAGCTAGTTTCTGATTTTGATGGGCTTCTATTTTAAACAGCACCAAATGGCAAAATATTTGTCATAAAACTTATAATTTGAAATTTCAAACCGCTTTGGGGGGTATTGATTAATTTTGACACATAGGGTATTTTACGATACCACAAAGATCACAAGAGATGGTTGCAGGATTTGCATAGTTTTTAAATTAGATTTTACATCTTTTACAATTATGAAGGCCAAAATTTGAGCATTTTAAGGGGAAATTTAAATTTGTTTTGCTAAGCTAATTAAAACGGGCAATGGGAATTCGGAAGCATTTAAACAAAATCTCTTTATTGAAAGTGAAAACTAAAGCTTAGGTTAAACCAATGAGGCGTGCTAATAAATGAGAACTCAAGAATTCAGGTATAGATAGAATGAGCAGTTAAAAATAAATTTAATAAAGAAAGTTTTGACCAATATAGAGGAACGATCTTCCAAGAATTCACTAAAATCATTGATATCAATGGTAGCTAAATAAAATGTGACTAGAAGGAAAGAGTTAAAGATTGATTACCCCTCGATGAATCAATGTATTTGCTAGTGTTTCATCGTTACCTATCCATCAAATGAAGCAGCTAATTGATAGCATTAATAATAATTACCGAAAGGATGAGAATGGTGGAATTTCTTTTAACGAAAGCCTTGGATAGACTTTTCTGGTATTATACACTAATTTTGGTTTACGTTTCACCAGATCTATTTCAATTTCAGCCAAAATATCAAACAGATAATACAATTCTTAAAAAACGTATTTTTGAAAAAGTGACTAGGTAGACTATTAGGCCTAATTTTGTCAGACTTACTAAATTGTCCAACAATGTCTGTCAATTGGGGAAAGAGGCATTTTACTCCAAGTGCAATTAGATTGGCCAAACTTTCAGTTTCCTATATGGGGATGTACTTTATGATTCTGTGGTGCAGATGCTGATCTAGGCTTTACAAACTTTGTGATAGTTAAAATAATATGCGCGTGAATAATTTAAGGTCTTCATGACTTTACAACTTTGTACTTCATTCCCCGTGGTCGTAAAAAGGCAGCATTTTTAGGAAATTTTAAAATTGTTCACTAATTTGAACCAAGAGAAGGAGTATCTAATTTGGTTGAAAGACGGAAGATAGCCTGTTTTTATTGTTTGTTTTCTTATAATTAATGTTAAAAATGTTGAAAACGCGATTATAATAAATTTGCATTAACTCTAGTCAGGTTTTTGAGGCTTGGGTCAGGACCAAGTAAGATCATTTAGAGATTTAGGCTTTTAAAAGAAAAAAAATGATTGCTTTGATACTGTGAACAAGCCTTCATCCAGTTCTAAAGGTAGGAATTTAGGCTTGAAACTTGGACTACAGATGACATGATTTCATGGAAACTCCCTTTGCAACACAGAGGACTGAACATGAATGACTTTCCTGAGGTCAAATGTTCATTAGTCGTCCTACGCAGCTGCCAGTCAAATAACACGGGAGATTGCATTTTTGCAGAAATCTTCTGGTTTATTTTATGCCGGTCGCCACACGCCACACCATAATGTTCAATCGAGGATATTATCATTTCAAAACCAATTGAGGTTTCAGGTTCTTATGTTTCCACATCTTGCTAAGTTACATAGCTTTAATAAGTAAAAAATTGAATTTTTCACATCTTCGTTTATTCAAGGAAGAGTCAGTTGTTTACAATATACTGTAAAATTTAAGAGATAGTCCCCTCGAAAGGCATGCTAAATGACTGAAATCCAAAACCTAAACATTAGATTAATGCTTGTGTTCTTTTCCTTTTATCTTGACTATTCTGAACCAATCTAAGATAATCTCTATCCATTAGAAATGACCGCTACTTGGTACAGGACTACTGTCCTCATGACAAAGTCTACGTAACCATTGGAAATCCAACAGAGGCCGCATTAAATCTTCTAGGGGCTTATATTCCACGTTCGCAAACTATGTCCACTCCTGATGGAGGGACCCCGGGTTCAAAACGCCAGAAGCGTCCAAGTACAAGTTTGCTTGGACTTCGTGGAGGCCCTCGCCACCACACTACGACGCCTGAAGTACCAGAAGCCTTGTTCAAGTCTTCCGGAACAGACACGCAACCAGCCCATAGATCTCCTCCAACCAGCACCTCTCTCAGCTCAATGGCATCTAATTCGAGCAGCTTGGAAACGTGTGGACCGGTTAGCTCACACGTGTCTCCATCGCGTTTAGCGTCAGTTCGGTTGAAACGGTCTGGAAGTAGTTTAAGCTCAAAATCCGTACCTAGTGGATCGTCCTACCCTTTCCCCTCGTCAACAATCAACAGGGATCCTCCGCTTTTTCTCTATTTATTCTTAACAGAAAGCCAATCTGGATCTTGCACGGAATTCTGCCTTACAACCAATGACAGGTGTGTGTTTAACCTAGCATGAATTTTACAGTTTCTGATGTAGGAAGAAACATGATCGATAAATTAAGGTTTAAGCTTCCATCCTAAAAATAGCACCTACTAAGAAAATTAGTTTTATTTCTCTGTGTTCTTTATCTTTATTGAGATAATTATAAATAAATAGAAGATACCAGTTGGGCGAGGTGAAAATATTCTCATTAATTAAATAGGATCAAAACGACTGAGCGTACAATTTAACAATTAAGTTAATTTTATGTTCAAAAAGGAAATTCAATTTAGGTTAAGCAAATGATTTTCCTCAAACACTTTGAAAACTTTCAGTGTAATTTTTTTCTGAACGGAATGCAGCAATTTCTGTAAAAACGGAGTTTCTTCACGGTGATATTATGTTTAACTGAAAAAGTACATATCAAAGATCGAGTTTATTATGCAGATTTATTGATTGCAGTTTTAAATTTTTTCAAATCATGTCGTTAGCGGTGCCAAATTTAAAATGATTGCTGTACCGAGGGACCGATTGACAAGAGATAATGGCGAATACCTATTAGAACTAATTTGCTCAATAGGCTGAAAGACAGCATTAAGTCAAACCCTTTAATATCGTAAATGATCATTCAAAAATCCTCTTTGAGATTTAAAGGGGAATACTTTTGTATCAACGATGTTGCTGATGATGAAAAAACTTGACTATCGTAGAAATCTGCTGTACGAATGGTATGATGAAAATTATATATTTCTATATTTGTTTTGAAATTTTAAATTCGCTCACATTTCTTCGAATAAGCGTTCCAGTGCACATCATCATGTGGTTTAATCTCAAGAGTTTGGGATATGGTTTGCAGTCAACGAATGAAGATGCATAGTTCATTTTGATAAATTAGGACATAAATATTGAAAACGATAAGCTTCTTTACTTGCAATATTAAAGTGAAAAAATTGTATTCTTCATGGATTCTTAGAGTTAAGTAAAAGTATAAATGCATAAATAAATCGACAATGAATGATTTGATATTGAAGACAGTAACAGCCATTTATTGTAATTACTGAAAATTATGTTCTTATCAGATTGTGCTACGAATTACACTAGCTATGTGCGCAATAATATCGTATGTTACGCTGATTTTATTATTAATCAATAGAATTCAATTATTTCACTAAAAATATGTGAATAGTTACACTGAGAAATCTTCATTGGCTATTTCGTCAAATGGAAAAAAGTTCAATTTAAGAGTTCATGCTTAGTAGACATCGGGAAGGCCTAAATGCCTAAGAAAAGTGAAAAAACGATCAAACGGACTTGTGTCAAGTCTGACATTATTCGGATACAGTTTGTTCTCATCATAAAGTTATTTAATCAGCATCTTGTACATTGATTGGCGATTATCTTCAAATTTACTGTTTCATTAAGTTGCTTAATTTTTTTCACTTATTTTTTATTCGCAAATGTGTTGCAATCAGTTCGTTTTTGAATTTTCACTATTCACATCAACATGTCTTTAAAGTTAGCTTCACTCGGTCACAAGATTGAAAATTAAATGTCAACAGACACGCTTTCAGTGTAATTTCACCCATTTTAGTCGCCATTTATATTTACAACCCGTCTAATCTGAAATTTGCGCTTTATGTTTGTTACTGCCGGCTCATTAGCTTTAAGGCTGTTAATGGACTAAAAAGTATTAATGTTTTGGCCTGTGTAATTATTACGGGAATAATCTTTTATTTTGGAGTTATTTATTGTACATATTGTCAGTAATTACCAATTATTTTGTTTGCGAAAGCACGCGACCCTACCTAGGGAATCGCAAATATCTCATTATAATTTAGTCTCAAAAGTTTTGCTTTTAAGGTCCTCAAAGAGGTTTTTTGCTTTGAAAAATAAAATTCATGAAGATTTCTAATTTAGTAAGAAATTTGGTGAATTCCAGCATTCATAATTTGGTTGAATGAAATTATGAGTGAAATAATTACATTGTAATATTTAAATAAAATAATGAAAAACATCGCACATTTATTTTATAGTTTCGCGTCAATATCAAAGTACCTTTCTCCAAATTGAGATAGATTTTGATTTTTTTGAATAATTCTGAAATTACCAAAATTAAAACAGATGCAATAGCTTTAGTACGCGAAAAAATACAGCCTTCTTTCATTTTCGATTTAGATTAAATGTTTATTTGTATGAAAATTGAATAACATATTAAGACCGTCTGCCATTTTGAAATTCTATTTAATGTTTTATCTGTAGGACTGTTGGTATCGGACAATAAGTAAAATAAATTATAAATTTTGGTTAGCACTTATACAAACACGATTAATGTTGATTGGGAGGTAAGGCAATGGTGGTACGAATTTATAATAAAAATTATAGGAATAAGTCACATTCCGTTTAGCTTAAATAAGATTCAAATTCATGTTTTTTATTACACTTTTAGCTTCAAATTTACCTTTCAATTACAGATTGCGATATCGAGAAAATTACAGTGGTTTTCCATTTCATCACCATAACATGCATGGCAACGACTAAACTTCCCCAAATATGCTATATTTTTTTATAATTCGCTTTAAAGAAAGTATTTTATAAAGGTTTTCTTGAAAAAATGCTTATTTAGGGTTTAATGTGGAATCATGCTTTGTAACCACGTTCAAACATTAAGTCATACTTTTTTGCAAAATATTTATATCTGTGTCGCGAAGATTGTAAACGGATTTCCAGATAGATTAAGGAAGTTCTATATCCAATTCCTCTAAATTTTTCGTGTTTGTTATTAAGAGACGCGAAAACTGGAAATAAATGAAAGATAAATACGATAAACTGTAACGTTATTAACAGATATTTCGCAGTTTCTTGTAAGGTGTTGGAATGGGTAACACCACAGTGTGCAAATGAAATTTTTCCATTGAAATGTTGATATAATTGAAACATAACTGTTTTCCTAACTGCTACCTGTAGCAAGGAAATGGCTCAGTGTTGCATTATTTGCCTCTTCTTCAACAGAACATTTTCCAACCCACGAAACGGTTTAGGAAAGCTTTTTTCCCAATGCGCACCTTGAAAATCTAAGATGCACCATGAATCTTTCCTGATAAAAAACCTGAATTCACATACGCACCCTGATGGTCACAATTTATCATTGTATTTATCCATTAGACTCAATATATTTGCACCTGCAGTCCTCGAACCCGTGAATTTCAACACCACATACCTGGAAATTATACGTTGTATCGTCTGAGTACTCATTGGTATTTAATTCAAGTTCAATCCAGCTCTTTGTTATTAAATTTTCAACATAAATATTTTGATTTACCAGCATTATTTTCTTCAACCGTTTTGAAATCTATTTTTAATTTATTTAATGTTCTAACAAGCTAGCTAAAATTTTTTCCACCTTTAAATTTCTCCAATTTTATTTGACAGTAAATGATGGAAATGTTTGATTTGCGTTGTTTTATTGACTGGCATGAGGCAAGCGTTTCCTTCCATTCTGATGAAAATAGCAATCATTTTCATTATGCATTAAGTGCAAGGAAATTGGCTACGAAAACACATGTCCATCAAATTATATTTGCTAATATAAAATCAGTATGTTTGAGGATTTTTATTTTAAAATTTGAGTTTATTTTTCTTATGAGCCTGTGCCAAGGAAATTGAAAAAGCAATACGGTACATAAAGTTTATTGGACAGAGTTCAAAAATTTTTTATCAGCATACTCAACCTCAATAGTCACCCACGAAATTTATATCTGTCCACTACAATTTCAGCCAACATGGCCACTGATAAATTGGTAATTTCCACGCTTCGTATTCTTTTGACAATTTATTTTAATAAAATCTAAATAGTAGAGGCAGGATTAGAATAAATTTTAGTCAATATTTTTGGTAAAATAAAATGATGATAAAATTTCTAAGAAACGTTTTGCTACTTTTCATATTTCACCATCTAATTACCATTTTTAAAAAGTATAAATGCACATAATTGTTTGAGACATCGAATTAAGTACTGGATACTACTTTGAACGGCGAGATGTATGATTTGAAGGGATTTAGCAAGGTCATAATATACATAATATGCAATTCCATGAATTTGGAAAGAACAGCTCTAAATCTGTTAATGAACTTAATTAATTTTCAATGAAAGCATTATTCATTAATTTCTATTTTAGCGCCGAATACGAGTCTTGGTATCGTGCTCTGCAATCGAAATCCCTCAAACTTAATGCGGTTAACACCGAACAGAAGACACCGAATCAGGAGGTGCATTCTTAATGAAATATTCACACTCCTCGTCGTGAAGCTGATAATTTGTCAGCTTCATCGTCAATTTGATGCGCTGTTTTATAAGCGTCATTTATTCTATCAACTCCATCAAAGACCAGCACAATTTTATCATTAAAGATGAATGTTCCGTCACTCCTCCTCCTCTTACCATTTTCGCATATGCTCTCTCTCTCTCACTCCTTTTCGCTCGTATTCTCACTTGGAAAAGTTAAATCGAAAGCAATTCTTTTCCATATTCCATGTCAATTATCTCCCGTCCCTAAGCACTTAAATCTCTCAAAACCTCTTTTTCCTGTACAGATGTCATATTTTCTATACAAAATCGTTTAAATCCTTGTGTCTTTTCAAAACACACACACACACACACTGAACTAAAAATAGTAAAAGCATATTCAAGAAAAATGTTATTTTGCTGTTGGGTCGCCATGTTTGCGCCAGGGGAGGGGTGAAGTGAGGCTTCTGAAATGTTAATAAATAACAACTAATGACAATGTTCTTGGTATTCAATTGACCGTATTTAAGGAATTGCAAACGATGAAAAATTTTCATTTATGAATTAAATTTTGGTTAGTATTTGAGTTAGTATTCGATAATGAAAATCATATTTTGCATCCTTGATCAATTAATACGTTTTAACCAAGTTTTTAATTTAGAGTGAGATATTTCTATTGACACAGCTGCAAATTCAAGACAATTAATTGAGAGGAATAGAACACGTCGCCATAGATAAAGTTGCAGAGTTAAATTAAATAGATGGAAAAGGAAGTCAAAATTAAAATTTAAACTGAAACAAGCGCAAAGGACCCTTTCCTCAATGCAATCGTGATGCTAATGCTGTCTTCAAGTATTTTGGATAATTTAAGTAAAAAGCATGCGAAATTTTTACAACCAACCAATTTCTTAAGGTATTAGAATTTTTCCTTAAAAGAGTTTAACAAAAATAACACAATAATCACCTACTTCTGAATGTACGTTCTAATATTTATTTTATTTTATTTATTTCAAATGGCAGGCGTTTTGATGGTTATCATTGGCCTTTTAGCTGACTTCGGGCTTCACAGAGAGGAAGAGGAATATCAAAGTGACACATAGTCGAGAGAGGAAATAGAATAAAATGTAACAAAGGCAGACAGACAGACAAAAAAGCAGAGAAAAGGTAAGATGAGTACTAAGGAAGTGGTCGAATATAACATACAGTGGGGTCATGGTAGTTTGAAGTTAGAAGTCAACTGTTGGTTTATAGAATTTTTTCCGAAAGAGTATACGTTGTCCAGGGTGCACCACGTGGAGGTAAGTCTATCGCACACCACAAGTTCTAACATTTAAGGCTCGCAATAGTAGAAAACAAACAGAACAAAGAAGCAGGTCAATAAGGGTCAAAGGTGAAGATATCTAATAGAGTTCTCACCGAAGTCATATTGTAAAAATGATGATAAATGAGGAGGGATGGATTTGACCTCGACTTTTTTATTTACAGACTTCAAGAGATGACAACGCTATCCTTTCCGAGTGCCTATTCGCCGTATTTTGAGCAAATTGGTTAAAGAAGTTTGAAATATATGAATAAGTAGAACTTCGATGATAAAATTCAGATGTTCGAAACGGATGACATTAATTTGGTGTAAAGATAAATATCGATATAATACTGGCGGAATTTGTCTTAATATTCCAAAAACAGAAAAAGTGAAATTGTACATTATGTGACTAAATGACGATTATGAATAAAAATGGGTTTGTTGTATCTGGCAACTGCTTGAATCTTACGATGTTACCAAAATTTGGAATTAATTTTACATTTTGAACTCTTTGGGTAAACTTAAGTAAGATAATGTCATGCTAAAATCGTTGTCTATCTCATCTACCTGCCTTCAACAATTAGTAAATTTAGATATATCGAGGTGGCCTGACGAAAAATGAAATTGAATTCACTGGCCAACAAGTTTTTGTGGAGTGGTTATATTTCAATTAATAAATTAAGGAAACTTTACATTCGGTTCAAATCAAGTATTGCATATACCGAATTAAGAAACACACTCGATGTTCCTTCTATGGGGCATGTTCCTAAATTGACCATTCGAGCTTCATTAATTATTTAATTGGTTGGAGGTCTTTATCAAAACGCATTCGCTTTTAAGAAATTCGCAAAACTTCTTTTGCATAGGCCATGGCAAATGTGATCATTTTAATCATCTCATGTAGGCAATTAAAATGGATCTTGACGCAATAGTGATCGCAAGGGATACTTTTAAGAAAGAGCAATTTAGCAAACTGAAACTCCTTCACGAGGTTCAGTTGTTTAATTATGCAATAAAAAGTCATGCTATTGTGGATGCATTCAGGGTGGAAAATTACCCTGGAGAAACAATGTTTATTAACGAAATAGAAAAGGCCGATTTGCTCTCTTATTGTTAAATAATCCAAGAACACATTTTGGTGCGTAAATTTGCACATTAAAACGTGTTGGGAATACGTAAAAACAGCATTTGGAGTGTCTTTGCACCAACTTTTAACGAAACTAAAATTTGGCCGACGAGGTTTTATTCATGTCTTGAGAAAAATTAAGCGGAACAGTTGTTTGGCAAAGCCTACGTCATTGCCTCCAAGCAAATGTAGGCAAACGATAACCAACTTATTTAATTCATAGCTCGTCTCAAAATTCGATTCAATGAAGATTATATATATATATATATATGATTAATTGTGAATGATTAGTTATAGCCAGACTTTCTCTACTTCATGACTGAATTTGATGGTCAAATTAATTAACTTCTAAAAGAAACGGTGGTATCTGGTAAGCGGCAATCAGATGGAAAACTCTCGAAACCCTCTGGAATATTCACGCCCTTTGGAGGTAAGTATTCAAGAAAAATAATTTAAAATGACGCAATGCGCAATCACTTTTGAAGTATCTATCCAATTCCTGTTAGAAGAAGGAAATTGATAATGCATCAAAGAAGCGACTGACATTTTATACTTTAAATTTGACAGCGAAGATGTTCATTTGTTTATTTATATTTAAGAAATGCAAAAAAATCTGATCATTTTTGAGGTGAGACGAAATGAAGTACCACTTACCTGACTTCCTCCTCCACTGCTATTAATTCCTTCTGGTTAAACTATATGCTCTTTCATCAAAGTTCATTTAAGTTGCATACTAATAGAGTGGAATTTTATTGCGACACGACTGAAGGAAATATTGTTTTGGTAGATAAAATTTTAGCAGTCGAACACCCTGCACTGCGTCTCCGGTGGTATGATAGAATGGTGGGGCATTAATCCTACCAAATTACACTCCCCGTGTTGACTAAATAAGTCAACTAACTGCATCCAACATAAATTTTGTTGCATTGTTTTTAATGGCAAGTTCAAATTGAGTTGAAATTTCCACCCACCAAGGAAGAAAGAAATAACGACACGATAGGCAAAGCTAAATGCTCCTCTCTCTAAAATAATCAATAAGATGCTTTTCTGTCTAATAGTAGAATGTTGATTATGAGATAGTCAAACATCCACTTTAATATAATTTATTAAGATTTAATATTTGACATTATTAGCAACAAAACTTCAAATAATCTCTATGAGTTACAAAGAATCTTGAAAAATAAAACAACCAACATTTTTTCCGAAAATTTTTATCCAACCATTGAGAATTTTAATTTAAATTTTAAAATGCCAGAAAATGTCGAAAAATAAGTAATGTAATCAATATTCTTCAAAAGATAGCAAAATATGATAAAAATAATAATTATTATTATATCAAATGGCTGGCGTCTTGA